ATCTTACTTTGGCTCCTGAGAACGTAACTGTAAAATCAATTTATAATTTATTTTAACACGACTTTTTAAATCTGTGAAAAGAACTTATTAAACATAATAAATCTACACCCGTCAGGGCTTACCCAACAAATGAAATTAATAATAATCCAAAATGAACATAATGATGTTAAAAATACAAAAAATCAACTTGAATAGTGTTAATTTCGATAAAAACCAACATAACCAACCACATAAAATAATGAAAATAATAATATGTGGTCGAAAGTCAAAGGAATTTGCTACGTCATGGTCCTTGATAAAAAAGTTTGGATGTCGACTTTTAGCGGTAACGACCTCACGGTGTATTCCCATTGGCCTTCAATCATAAAACAAATGAGTCACGATCTAAACAAAAGCACATATACTATTTTTTAGACCAGAGACAATACCTAGAGAAAAGAATAACCTACTTGAAATTGTTAAAATACTACGATAATTTCTTTGACATTCGTATAATAATTTGACTTGTAGACCTTTGTATTTAATTTGAAATATTTATTAAATAGACTTGCCGAGTGTAACTTTCCAAGTTATTTCCAAAAAATATTTTGATTCTGATTTGATATAAAATTTAAACAAACTCTACAATTTGCACGAATTAGACATTTGTCTTTATACCTATCTAAACTCTATTTACTTATACAGTTGCTAATTTATAAAAACAATTCTCTGAGTCACCAAAAACTCAATCTATGTTACCAATAACCAATATTATATGATAGCTAGTGGGGATGAGGACTGAAAATAAAGACTAATGAATGTATAATAAAATGTAATAATCACAAATCAGCAAGCAAAGAAAACGACAAATATTTCCGACCTGAGCAAAAACAAGCAGTAATCATAAAAGAACAAAATAAAAATATGTTGATAAACTAATCAAAAAGGATGGCGCTTTCCAGCCAGTCGCCTACATTATATTTTATTTTTACACTTTTTAGGTAAGATTTATATTTCACATTTTAAAGTCGCTTTTTATTTTAAGGTTTATAACTTACTAATTTCTTTGCAAGGTTTGCGCTATGAGGTATAGTTAAAAGTATTAATGACCGAAAATACAACGCACGCGTGGTGTCATATATCCTCCCTTTTTTATAGGGAACAACGAAAGACTAAATATGATTCTGGAGACAACATAAACTTTTTTGTTATCCTTTTTTTTATCAATGTTCTAGTTAGCGAAGAGTTGCCAGATAGATGATGAAACGTTGTGTGTACGCGGAACTCGCTCATAGCAACGATTAGTATAATTGATGCTCGATATGAGATAATGGTCCGTTGGTATTCCATTAACTGTTAGAGTCGCTACACATCCCACGAGTTATAAAAAAAAATACCTTATAATATTGTTAAGACGAGAAAATATGGAACATATACTCTGTGATTTTTTAGAATAGTCATGTAAATAAAAACTGGACTTGGACGATTTTTTTAGTATGAAAACGTAAAAAGAAGACGTAGTTACATATATTAATAATAAGCTCTTTCAATTCTCAAACATTGCTTCGTATTTATGTATATGTATTGAACATTAACAGCACTTTGTGCCGCTTCAGCCTTTAAATTTGATGTCCTCTCTTAAATACCTAATATTTCAATAAATAGCTAAAGATAACTAAGTAAAGATAAACTTTATGAATTTGATAAAATAAAAAGAAAATCAATGAACAAAATCTGAAACAGAAAAATTAAGAAAAGCAGAGAATATTTTTTATGATGTGGTTTACAGAGGACAACGTCGATCTATTTATAAATTACTTTCTAATTTTTATAATAGCGTCGTAATGTTACACCTACCAGGCTACCGACCGTCTTACCGTTATTATAGGTAAGATAAGCTATAATCAGAGTTATACTCTGATGTTTTTGGTTTATTATTTACATATTTGATCGATAATCTTTAGTCGTTGTAGTTTTCTTAGTTATAGATAATAAGTAAAATTAAAGAAAAAACGTCGACTTTAAACACACAAAGGTATTTCGAAAGTGTAATAAATTAAAACGTTTAATTAAAAATGTAAATTATGATACAAATATTAATATACCCGTACAATGAATATTAATAATACAATGAATCTCACTGACAAATTCAATAAAAAAAAAATTATATTGGCTAGTTAAAGCGAGAGACTTAGACGGTCTGTATCCCACCAAAAAAAAAATATTTTAATTTTAGTTCCGCAGTCTACACTGATGCTATGCTAACCTAATGTATAATGTCCTTGAAGGAATCCTCCCCTCCACACAGTTATTGTGTCGCACATCATCTCACGCGCAGATTCCACGCATCACGTCACGTGATTCACGTGACGCCCATTCCATTGCTTGCTAACTTATTTTTCACAAATATTGATTTAATAAAAACTGACTATTTATCGACTACGCATTTACTTTAAAAAAAAATAACAGATTTGCAAAGCAATTGATGCATATAAGGCATAGTGAGCTGCAGACCTACCGCGTCACCGAAGCCAATGTTTCGTTTTGGTTGAATGGCGACCAAATCTGATGTCGAACCAAAGATGGATATGAAGAGATGGACTTTGAATGTCAAAATTTAACTTTCTTAACGTGGTAGTCCGAGTAGCTCGGTGGCGTAGCGGATATGCGCCGCGGCCCGCGATCATAGTCGTTAAGCAACTTTCGCAAAGGTCGGTCACGGGATGGGTGGCCATAAAATTATTATCTCGAGCCTCTCCGTGCTTCGGAAGGCACGTTAAGCCGTTGGTCCCGGCTGCATCTGCAGTCGTTAATACCCTCCAATCCGCATTGGGCCAGCGTGGAGGGTCATGGCCCATCCTCCTTAACCATCCATAAGGAAGGCCTGAACCCCTGCAGTGGGGACGTAAAAGGGCTGGTGATGATGATGATGAACCTCCGTGGAGGGGGACATCGTTAGGTTTTAGTGGTTACATCTCTGATATTTTACTGGCCCCTTTCTGGGGTTGAACACAATAACCCGCCGACCCTGTGCTAGGGAAGAGCGGGTATGCGTAAAGAATTTCGTAGTGGCAAAAAAACAAGGTTGTATCTATTGAAGTTTACTTTTCATTAGAAAGATTATATACCATTAGTATCGAAATATTAAATTAGTGCAAATTGTAACATGATCGTCATCAAAGTTAATATCATAATGCTAAGTTTCAGTTCCCCTTTTTCTCATCTAAACTTCTCATTTGAATCTGATTTTTTAACAAAATTCCATTTCTTAACAGTATTAAATCCATTAAGGATCTCTACAAAGGATTTCTTAAATTGTAGGTCTCTTTACATTTTACCTACTTAATTTTACATAAATGGATTTTATGTGAAATACAATCTCAATTTATCCATAATGGATCTCGCTCGCAGATGGACCTTCTGATAATGATTAGAATCACTTTCATCATCACCCATTAATATTGCCACTGCTGGACCCCAGGCACGCCTTATAAAAAATATTAAATAGGGAGAGAGATATAAACTCTCTTTAACTCAACCCCGCGATCCGTATGGGGCCAGCGAGGAGAGTCATAGCCCATCTTCCTTAACCATCCCTAAAAACTGAGCCCCCGCAGACTGATAATAATTTAGACTTAATAAAAATAAATTCACCCTTAACATAACACTATACATAAAGTTCACATTGTAAATCAGTTATTATGTAAACATCATCCACCGGTTTTTCTGCGATGCCACCGAAAATATGCGGAACGAAATCGGATATGACTGTTATTGACGAGTTTTATGGTTAATAAATTGCAAAGAATAGATAAGAAAAGAATGTCGTCTAATAGACAGGACGTTTCTGAATATGATCAGCATTAGTGGCATATTTTTTATTTATTAGACTGTAGGTAAACGAGTTGAAAATGTGTCCAATCTATTATATTCCTTTCAAAGAATGAAAGAGTCAAATCTAAACATAATATTATACACTCTAATTTGTTTCCGTTACTAAACATATCTAACTGATAACAGTTAATATATATTGTTTACTAGAGTACACTTTCACACTCGGTACAAACGGTAACAAATCTCGCAACGACCACCACTCTACACGTGTTTCTCCCAGACTCCAAGAGTCTAAGACTCAAATTTTTAGTAATATTTCTACAAGATAAATACAACATTTTAATAAAAAAAAAAAAATTAAGAAAAATCAAATATTACCAGCCCTGTATAAGAAGTAGAGAGCGGTCAATGTCAAGCATCAAGATTACCTTACCTTACGTAAACGTTGTTATACGATACATACCGATACAACCGCATTTGTATGCCTATGCGGATTCTAGGAGATTCCGGCTCAGTACCGAGTATTTATTCAAGTTTCAACACGATCTTGTCGGTAATTTTTTATAACGATTTTTTCTCTCGGTTTCCCACGGGTACGATAACAGAATGGCTAATTGACCGATCGAACGGATAAAAATAAGACAGCAAAAAAACAAGGCTCACAAGCATATTAAATGGGACCCAAAGTGGTCTTACATTTCAGACATCCATAAAATAAATCTGACTTAAATCCGCTTCAACAGTCGTATATTATTATCTATATTTAGATAAAAACCTCGAGTTAAAAAATTATAAATTTTACTAATCGTAACACATTATATTTGATTAATTCACAATGCTATACTTATTACATTAAATATATACATTTAACAATTTATTTCAGTAAAAATAATTAAATATGTCCTACCCTTATTATTTTAAAGAAACCAGCCGTACTAAAGTCACAGTGTATATTTTTTTGTTCTGTGTGATGTTGTAAGCTCACGTTTCATTCATTAAATATCCATCGCGATTACATAAGATAAAAGACTACAAAGTTCACGGTCATCAAGTTACGGTCGGTTATTTTCTCTAATAACAGGCGTTCGACAAACAAGGCGCGTCTAGATTCCTAGCTCGGAGGCTGCATCCGGGCTACCGCAGGGATCGTCAGTTACGAGGGGCGTGCGAATGTCAAGGAACCCTCGATGCTGCGTCACCGCTCGCCAGTCGCAGCCGTCATGTCTGCGCGAGCGCATGCCTCGCGCGCGATTCTAGTGCTCGTCGCGATCGCCGCGCAACTAATCGGTGAGTAACAAACAAGACGAAACAATTAAAGTTCTAATGGATTACATTATAACAAGTACAATCAGTGCAACTCGAATTTAGACGCGAATATTTTTAAAAAATCACGTTTTTTTTTATTTCAGAATCTGAAGATATTTCTTGTACTAAAGATGGACTGTTCGCTAATTACAACAGTGGTTGCCGTGAATATGTGAAATGTGTCGGGGGTGCAATAAAAAGTAAATACGTTTGTGGGCCGGGACGAGCATTTAGTGAGGTGGCAGGCGCGTGTGTCCCTCGGCGGCGGCAACCCTGTGTCCGGCGCGTGTGTGCTGCCGGGGATGAGCTGGCTTATGCGTCCCCCGGGACCGCATGTAGACATTATTATCGTTGCGAAAATGGCACTGCAGTGGAACATGCCTGCCCTTCCGGGGCATGGTTTGACCTCGACCGACAAGCGTGCACACGAGGCGCCGGCACTTGCTACGAACCAGTGTGTGCAGGTTTACCTGACGGAACGTACCCAGACTCGTCTCACGAATGCCGCCGACGCCTAGAATGTCACGGATCAGAACTGCTAACGGTCGCATCCTGTCCCGGTGGGATCTGCACGAAATCCTGTCCACCGCCCCGTTCTGCTGCTATCCCACTTCCTGCAGGCGATGCTGATTTCTGTTCGGACGAAGTGTGCTCATCGCTATGTCACCAAGCCGAAGATGGAGCATACGCCGACCGGTCCACTGGCTGCCGTGAATATTTCGTGTGTGAATCTAAACGTGTTATTCGACGCGGAGTATGCGAGCCCGGCCTTCTGTTTTCTGGAGGCGGATGCGAGCCAGCTTCTCGGACGTATTGTCCATCGCCCGCTCGAAGCCCGTGCTTCAATCGTCCCGATGGGCTATACCGAGATTGGCGTGACTGTTCCTCTTGGTTCGATTGCAGACGCGAACGAGTAGTGACCCGTGGCTCTTGCGAACCCGGTTTGGTATTCGATGGTGCAAGGTGTGTGAGTGGGGACATTTTTACATGTGAAGGACCCGTACCTGCTTTAGAGTGCGAAGGCTTGCCGAGTGGGACATATCAAGACTTGGAATCTAATTGCACCCAATACTTTCATTGCGAAGGGAACCTTCGAACGACACTCGCATGTCCTTCAGGCCAAGTGTTCGACGGGGCTCGATGCTCGCCCACTGAAAGTTATTTGTGCCCAAGCCTAGAACAGGACTCTTGTTACGGGCGACCCGATGGCCGCTACCGGGCATTAGACACTGGGTGTAGAGGGTACTACGCGTGCATGAATGGCGCGAAGGCGGTATACGCCTGCCCCATGGGTCACGTGTTCGACGGTGAGGTGTGCGTCGCCGCCCATTCCGGCAAATGCCCTCTGGATGACTACTCATGTTTTGGGTTAAAAGATGGCTATCACGCAGAGCTCGAATCTAACTGTCACAGGTAATATTCTTTTTTCAACTAAATCTAAAGAATATATACATCCTACATTAAATATGTTGAAACAAAATAGAGCCTCATCAGAAATATTACGTTTACGTTATAATGTTATTGCATAGATAATTAAAGTGCGATTAACATTAATTAATAGTTAGGTGCATGAACACCAATTAAATCAACTCATGTATATTCAAAATATTTTAATCAAATATCGTTTTAAGCTTTGAAAAAAAATACAAAATATACGAACACCCCTTAATTATTTCAGGTATTTCTACTGCGAAGGTGGTGACCGTCTTGCCACCCTCTCATGCCTGGGTGGTAAAATCTTCGACGGGCACGCGTGCGTCGAACCATCAAAACACGAATGCGGCGCCCCCCCAAAGAACACCATCGAGAACGGAGGCAAACACTGCGAACGAGATGGGTTCTTCGTACAACAGGGTACAGAATGTAAAGGCTACTACTTCTGCGTAACAGGTATAAGGACATATTTAACGTGTCCCAACGGTCAGGTGTTCAACGGTCAGGTGTGCGTGCCGCGCCGCCAATACACTTGTCCCGGATGAGTAAACTTTCGAGTCGTCTACGAGACTGCGGCCCGACTTGAACACGGCAAAACGAGTCAGGTATCATCAACCATGTGGTTGTGAGTAAAATCAAATAAAAGCGACCACAGACCAATACCTTACACTTAGCTTAGACCGTGTCGTCCTCAAGTTACTAAAGGAGGCCTAGTGTTGAGATGTACCTGATTTCATTAAGGCTGTGATTATTTTTATTATTATAATATTGAACTATGTGTTCGAAACAATTGTATGACACAATTGATTTAGTAATTATTAGGCTTTATATTTATTTAATAATAATATACACATTTAATTTTCATAATTTTATTTGCATAGAAATGTTTAAGCGTCCTAACTATTATAATGTCTAATAAATTATACAGTGTGACTATATCTTACAAAATTACTTACAAATGAAGAATACAATAAGCCCTTTGAATAGAAAAATAAATTCTTTTTTAACATTTCAAAATATTAATAATCGATATTTTATGAATATATGGCTAATATAATTTTAAATCAAGCAACAAAACAACAATAAATTACTCGAAATTCCTATACAATTAGAATTAAATAGCACGATTTTATAAGGGCATGCAAACATGTAACATAATTATCATCAAATATGAATAGAAACAATATTTTTGGCAATACATACTCATAAATTTGGAACGTAGAACAGCTAGTACAATAATATTAAACGTATTTTATAAATAAATAGTTGTTTACACGCTGTTTTTTAATATCACTTTTATAGACATTTTTTATACAAATTTTATTTATACATTAATTTCTCCAATACATCTACTTATAGATTTTCATTAAAGTTTTATCGACGACAAGTTTGATCATTCTGTATGTTTCTTTTTAAAATTTGGTCCACGCCAAAAACTGCTGACGAGTTTTATACATTCATATCTCTTCTTGGCCTTTTAAAATTAGGCATTATTAAACATTAATCGACTTAATAAAACGAATTGCATCAATTTTGTATCAATGTTGGATAAGTAATAAAATTATATTGAACGAACTTTTATTTTTATATATTACTTACAATGTAAGTTCTTTTATCTGTACAAAAACGAAATGTTATTTTTTTTAAATAGTCTTTAGAATGCTTGAAATTAAGTATATCTTAATCATTGATGACACTACAATAGATAGTTAAACTGATGTTTATTGCACGAATTACACCAGAAACAAACTGTTTATAATCGTATTTTTTTAATTTATTTGTTTTAAATTATGTAAACATCTTTATTTTGAACAAAGAATATTGAGTAAGAAAATAAAACTTCGTAATTTATGTCCGTTTTATTTTTATTTGTATTTTTTTTTCGTCTATGAATTGAAAAGATTTTTTACGAATGAAGCTACCTCCTAACTTTTGTATTTAGGAAGATATATCAATTAAATACAGTACTGTTTACTGTATATGATTGGTAAATAGGATCTTTATGGGTGTTACTTTAATAACAACATTATTTAGTGCTACAAAATTGTCAATAAAATAATTCAAGTATAACGCTAGACATTGGACGAATCAAGACACATTTAAGATTTTAAAATAATTACATTCAATTAAAAATATATATATAATAATATAGAACTGCACTCGATAACGATCAAATCCATCTGTTTAATTAAATTTAGAATTACCATCATCAATTTGAATTACCAGATGTCATCAGCTAAAAACGCAAAGGAACTTTCATACTCAGCATAATTTGAAAAAATAGAATCTTCGACTAACGTGCGTTTGCCATAAAAATTCTCTGGACTTAATATATGGTCAAATTCAGACCAAAAAGCAGTTATCAATACTTTGAATCATTATTTCCATTAATAAAATGTTTAGTATAATTTGAAGGGCTAAAAACTATGAGCTTCGACGGAACATACGACTACGGCTGGCTATGACTCGTCTCATTGGTATTAGGTTCAGATTAATAATGAAGATAAAGCTTGAAATTGTTTTATTGTGTCGTACACCTTAATACTGGTGCTAGAATTTCATTAAGTGCGAAATATTCGTTTTATTGAACCGAGTATCAATCAATACAAAACAAGAACTAAGGTGTTCCCAACTTATTTTATAACTGTTACGAGTTTAAAAGTCAATTCAATTTTAGGCTTAGTTTTCAACAGATTAAGATTTATAATCGATTGGATAAATCTGACAATTTGCTGTCGACTGTACACGAAAGCTGTAAAAGCCATCATAAATCGCATATTTATTTTTAAAAGGATTTCGGGTTCTCGGACAACGGAATCGTCGTTAAATTGAAAAAAAATATCGATTCTAGAATCTTTTTAAAGCCTTAATTTTATTGAAAATATATAAAAAATGAGAAAAAAATATGTACAGTCATTAAAAACAGTTTAATGGTCGGTGCATACCAGAAGCATCTCTTAACTTTTAATGACTAATTTGCTTCAACCACAATTCTGCCAAATTCACGTAGGTGACCATTACACGATGTAAATAAATTCAACCAAACATAAATTTTGAATTACCAATTTATTTTTAAATAGAACCCAGAACACAACAAAAATTTCCGAAAACACATTTCGGAACTAACGTAAGTACGCAACGTCGAATGTCATCTCATACAAATGAATGTCATCTCGTCCGTTCTGCCGTTCAGCCGCCGACGAGATGCATATTTTTACGCCTCAACTCGAAGATTTATGGTGATATTGTTTTGTTTACTTATTAATATATAGAATAAAGATGTATCAACAACAACAAAAATATGTAAACCGTAAACAAACATTTACATTTTTACCTAAGCAGACACGTGGTTAATTTTCAAAACAAGCTTCAACACATGTTGCATTAATCAAACACGTGGCATACTAATCAATCGAATACTATATTTATATTAATTTACCATATTGTTACAACGTTTAGAATCTGTATCAAGAAAACTAAACAGACTGTATATGAACTCATACAAAATTATCTAACTTCTTCCATTGACTTTGAACCTTAATGCGTTAAGTTTAGTGTAAAATAGATTGCTAAATTGCAACATTTTGTGATTTTTAATTTTCAACTTTAGTGGCTTTATATTAAAATGATGCTTTACATGAAACCTGATAATATGCAGTAATGTGTACCTTATTCTCTTTGTATTAAGAGATAATATAACTTACATTTACACTCTTTTCCTTAAAGTTCGTTTATATAATACACACTATAACATAGCATATCGTGATTGTTATTAATCAACGCAGCTAAATATCATCTCAAAGAAAAGTACGGAATTTTAATATAATAAAAAAACACTTTTTCGCGTTATTTAAACATTAAAGAAACTTAATAAAGAATTTTAAATTAATACAAAAGAAGATGGCGTTACTTTGCGTTTTTTTTAAATATCTAAACATATTAAAATACTTTTTTATTGAGACAGGTGAACTTAAATCTGCTGAACTATCGTTAAGAAATTACAATATTTTATAGTAAACTGGAATTGAAAATAACCGAAATATTTCTGGCTTTTTATTCAGGTTCAGCCATTTTTTGAACAAAGTCTACTCAAATTAACAAACAAAAGTTCATAAGGCTAAAATGAATTCATGAACTATCAAAACTAGAGAAAGAAATCTATGGTTAGTCTATGGTTCTTAAAAAAATAAAATAAAGGTATCCATTATAATTTGAATCTGGAAAGAATATTGACGGTTACAATATATCCAACCTCAGTTATCATTCGTTGTGGACCAGCTGCCATCGCTTTAATTAAAGATTAACAATATGAATATATTATTGTCATAAATGACGCTAGAAAATTACGAAGCGTCATCATTGCGATTTCATTAATATATCTATCTATGTAAATGCTACAGTTGACAAGCATTATATTTATTTAATACCATGTTACAGCGGCTCGTAAGTCATTTAATAATATACATATTTAATTTGACAGCTAACGGAAAGATATATGCATCTATAGTATCAGACTAAGCTTACGATTTATGGTGATATAGGTAAATGCACCATTTTATAAAAATCAGTATACTAACACTCGGCACCTAACTTTAACGGATAAAAAGAGCGATCTTATTAGCTATTAAAAGATGCCGATAGACTGTTCTACGCGTTTGGTTGAGAACAATTAAATAAGTTTAAGTCTCTGTTGCACCATAATTGCAATTAAAGTTTATGTCAACTGTTACGCTGACTTTAACAGTGACTTAAGAATGCATTGCACCATCCACTTTCATGGCATAGTAAAACAATAACTTTAACCAGAGTTAAGATGTTTATAGTTTACAATTCAAGCTATGACGTCACCCAACAATTATCAATTGACAACTCATTATTATTTGCTTAATCGGTACATTGACATATTTTTACTGATGCAACTAACTCCAAAACTCCAATTTTATAGATGTCAAAACATAACTATGTACATAAAGCAGCACGTCAGATTACCACAATATGACAAATTTATAAAATCTACCCTCAATGCATTATTTTAATTTTAAATCAAGCAGAAAAATAATTTACCATTTTGTATAATCTGTCTTGCTGACTGCACAAAATTGAAATATTATATCACTTTTAATATGTACTTAAATGTCTATGTATGATTTTGTTCCTCTTTCGAATACTGATCAATTGATGTAATTAACTTTATAAGAGAACCACATTTAACAAATTAATAACAAAGAGTACATTAGCATTGTATTGAATTATCAATTCAATTGGACACTACCTAAAATTGAAAATACAGTTTCTTTTTTTTATTTATTCTATATTCTTTAGCTTCAGTTTTCCATTTATTTATTCCTCTGCAATCATTAAAGAAACATCAAAATTTTGACCTTATCGTACGTATTAAAATTAAACGATTTACTGTTAAAACTAAATTTGACAAAAAAAAATAACAATTTCAAATGCCTTATTTTTTTATTTAAAATCATATTTTATTAAAATAAGAGATCCTAAATTACCATATAAGTCTGTTATTACCACTCCAAGTAAATTATCTAGTAGTTTACTTGAACATTTTAGTAATTACACACCCCTTAAATAAATCAATGTTTTACTTCATTTAAAACTGTAAACTGTCAACTCTATTTTATCTATCCTTGTTTTGTCCTTATAGACCAGGGGTGGCCAACTTGTTTAGACCCAAGATCGACTTTTCACTAACGACAACCAGTACGATCTACCAATTACTCTACTTCTTAAAATCTTAAATGTAACAGCATAGTTCGCACACTATGTACTATATTTTTGAATTGCCACGATCGACTGGACTAATAGTCGCGATCGACTGGTAGATCGCGATCGACTGGTTGGCCACCCATGTTATAGACAAAATGAGAGATGCTTTTCAGTTAATCTATTTTGCCATCTTTTTCAAATCATTTTATAAGGCATTTATGAATTGATACATCCAAAACACACCACTTACCAATACAATGCTTAACACTTTAATTAGCGAAGGTTCTCAGTATTGAAGAACGACTTTTTTTAACACAATTAAATACGAGCCAACATACAATCTATATTTCCGTTATTCATAAACATATAATAAAAAAAAATAAACGATCGTATTGAAAATTAAATTGATGAATTAATTTCAATATTTTTTGATATACTATTGACTTACTTATACATATGAAGTACCCTTAGTATAAAAATTACACATTACACGAATCTACATCGATAAATGGCCGATTTACTTCTTTTTACGAATGTTAGATGGCGCTGCACAAATATCAATACAAAAAATTTACATTTGTGCCCGATATAGTTTCATTCCTATTCGATAATGTTTAGTGCTAAGGGTATTAAGAAACATTCAGTCAAACTAAAATTATTTCTATCATAATCAATAAAAAGAATTTGCTACATGTTCGTTAGCATGATACAAGATTAAGATGTCACAAATTCTACACTTTTAAAGAACAAGTACGTCTCAGTCTTAGCGCACAACTGACATAAGTTAGTTGGACTATAAAAAAAAAAAATACGCACGTTAACATTAATTCATTGATTAATTACAACATAATATACTAAAATTATAAAAAAAACATTAGCTTTAACTGTTAAACTGTTGTCAAATTCGCTAAGTGTCAAAAATTAATCGCCAACAAGATAAAAAAATCGTTGGCAAATGTTCCATTAACACATAATTGTAATCTTTGACTGGTTGGTTACTTTCACACTATAGCGAATTCGATCTGTACGAACATAAAAATAGGAGCTACAATAGCTTTTAAACGTCAACGCATTCGTTGGATGGACATTATAAACCTTGAAAAGGATACCGGTATGACGTAGAAATACAGGCGTTAAGAGTGTTTACCGTTTGCCAACACAGTTCGAATATTGAAGCGATTGCATGAAATACACCCCAAGAAAATCGTTTGCTCTTTGAAATAAGAGATAAAAATTTATATTTTGGTTTCTAAGAAAGACGATCAAACTGAAACAATGTACTCACTGATTTTAACGTGTATCAATTTAAGCCTTACGTATTTGTAATACAGAGCCATATAGCAGCTATCATTGAAATAACGAATTTAAACCTTTTTGCGTACACATTAAGCAACAGTATACATACTTAACAATTCGTACCTTCATAATTGTCAGGATGATGATAACTTGCATAATACATTTAAAGAAATGAACGAAACTGAAACTTATTGCGTATGCAAAAAGCACCAATATTGACCTAGTGTTGGACAGAATCAAATTAAGCTGATTTTTCATTGACCGATCTTTAGAGCAGTTCGTACGTGTATAAAGTCTTCATTTTAACATTGAAACTTTAACACACCGTCAACTTTAACGAGACTTCTCGAATAGTAAAGTCCTTAAAGAATCATATCTATTACCAATTTATCTGAATACGTACGAATGTATTTTGCCTAAACTTTTTGACGATACGTTGTTAAGAGATGTTACATTAATAAGTTTTATAATCCTATTCAAAGATTTTTCTTATTATTTAAACTACTTCTTTTTATTATTCTTTTTATATTTTATTATTTTATAAACGAAAATTTTTGGAAAGGACTTAAATAAACATAAAATCATCAATTTCCGTTCTGTTCGTCAAAAATTTAAGATAAATACACTCCACTTATAACGTTAATTATCACAATGCGACGAAAAACAGTATTAGATATTCGCCCCCCAGATTTACCATTCAAAGTATAGATGAATGTATGCCTTATTACAATGGAATAGAGTTGACTCACAGTGGCTATTGATCGCTGGTGCCGGGCTTGGGTCCGGGCGCTAAGAGTACGGAGATGTCCCATACTTTGATGACTCTGTCTTTGCCGGCGGTACACATTCGACCCGTGGCTTCGTCTACGTAAAGCGACGTTACTGCGTGCTTCATATCGTGAAAGGAAGCTAGCGATTCACGTCTAGAACAAACATTGCATGAATAAATGCAACTTAATATTGTGAGTAACCTTTAAATGAGTACTCTAAATCAAACATTATTATAACAAAAAAAATATATATATAACAAGTCGCTTTCAGCCGTTTGACACTAGTCTTTAAAACTACGCAAAGGATTATGATCTGTTATATGTTTGGTATTCTGTTATCTGTAATTGTGCCTTAATAATTATAAAAAAAATGAAAACACAATAAAATGTCATCATAGAACACACTATCTTAGGATAATTCCGTTGAAATAAAATATACTTAAAAATAAACTTCTTTGGAAGTTTTCCAGACTGCGATCTTGAAGGCCCCAATTTAAAAGGTTTGCTGGGTTGCAAACTTCTTTAATTGGGACACACTGTGAAGGTTGCATTACGACCTCGACCTGTACCAGTCGATAGTTGGGGTAAAAACCCTCGCGTGAATCATTGCAACCTTGACATGTGTAGGGCTGGTATCGACATCTGCCTTGTATATTTTGTAACTGGCTGTGCTTCGCCATTTAACTTCATTGGAGTTTTTGATGTTCCCACTGTTGGGGCGAAGGCTTTCCATTATACTGTCATATATTGATTGATACCTATAGAAATACAGACAGAATAGCTCACAGAAAAGGTAGGTCCATGAGCACATCCAAGTTTATATACAACTACAGGCTCAGCCAGGACACACAAGGTATGTTAGAACTCTTCACTCACGTGATGTTTAGTAAAAGTGGTAATAAAAATACAAGTTTTGTGAATTCGGTGTAGTAATTTGCATTCACCTAGTATACTATACGTGTGACATAATTAACGCACATCCTGAAAGTAGTTTGTTTAAAATCAAATTCTGATTCGATTTCGACAATTTCTAATATATATATTTTTTGCCTAATTTAATTGGATTCAATTAATTATAGTCGCTAGTAACAATTACAACCATCACAAACAAAAAATAAATATAAGTGAATATAATGAGGCTTTTTAAAATTGACTATATTCTTAGCTTGTAATAATATACAACATAGAAAAAAAAACAAAGAAAAATGAGCTTTCTTTTAATGTTCCTCGAGTTTAAAATGCTCTTAAACGCTATGGATGCACAAGTTCATAAACCAAAGAGTAAAATGAGAGGGCAGTAGATGACTATTTTATCGCAATTAGTTTATCGAATTTTCAATTTTACATGCGATGATCGTCGTTATATTAACGTACAGCAAATACATCGAAATGCCTAAGGGTTAGACACAATGTGCTGATAAGATACTGTGCTCGTCATGTGATATGTGATCGCAAGACTATGCTAGCCGATACTCATAACAAGTGTTAATCATAATTATTATACTTAAAAAACTTTAAAAAAAATTGTTGGCAAGTTGGTGGTATCATTGTGGTATTATGCTGTAGGTACATACATTTGTAATTGCCGGCTAAGCCGTAATTTTGACGTCATTGTGTGGATCTGTAAGATGTCCACACTGTTTTCCAGCCATTCCAATTCCAAGTAAAATTCCAATTTTCGTGTTATGATTATAAATGCATTTTTCTAATTGGGGTGTGTAAGGATGTGCGTTATATCTGTCACACGTTGTGTAGTGGTGTACTCACGGCTCGTGGCGCAATGTTTCGTAGCAGCCGCTGCAGACCCGCTGCGGGAACTCGAAGCCCATGACGGGCAGCGGCAGCCGGTGCGTGGAGCACGAGGCGCACACCGCCGCGCCGCACCACCGGCAGTGGTGCTGCCGCAAACCTGACCACCAGAACAGAGGCGGAATATAAAATAACGGAATAAATCATCATCATATCATCAGCCCTTTTATGTCCCCACTGCAGCGGCTAAGGCCTTTCTTATGGATGGTAAAGGGAGATGGGCCATGACCCTCCACGCTGGCCCAATGCGGATTGGAGGGTATTAACGACTGCAAATGCAGCCGGGACCAACGGCTTAACGTGCCTTCCGAAGCACGGAGTAGTTCGAGACAATTTTGTTTTGGTCACCCATCCCGTGACCAATCCTAGCGAAAGTTGCTTAACGACTAAGATCGCGGGCCGCGGCGCTTATTCACTACGCCACCGAGCTACCCGTTGTATAAGTGTGTTGTGTTATAAGAACAAAAATATCCACGGAATAAATACGGCTTTGAAATAGAACATTAGATAATATATAAAGCTTTAAATCACAGTTGTACGAGACGTACATTGACCGCGAACGTGCCGGCCGCGTTCATATTGCACCGAATGCATATTTTGAACCGCATCGTAGTGATTTACTTAATTATAGGTTTTTCATTCATTGTTAGTTATACGCTGACCATCATATCAATCGCGTGTATACTCCATTACCATTACTGCTCCATCTATACTGTTTCCTCATACATCATTTTACAACAACCATTATTAGTTCTATTTTCTCAATCTTATAATTTGTTAAATAGTGTATTTAAAATAAACTCTGTCCTTTAATATTACCAGTGACTTTATTTTTACATTTCCCCTTTGTTAGGTGTAGTCCGTACAACAGTAATGTGATTATATTTCATCTATTTTTAATTATTAATGCTATACTGGAATTTATTCTTAATAAAAAAAATACTTAAGAAATCCATTTTTCCCATCCATCATTAGTGTACCAAGAACAAAAGGTATTTTTTAAGCATTTATTATTTAGAATATTTTCTAATATAGCATCGTGAATGCAAAATTGATCGAAAGTTTAAAATATCTGTAAAAATATTTCTTTCGGCTGTTTGGGTGGATTGCCTGAACATTGATGAAAATACGCTATGTAGTAGCGAAAAAGTAACAGGTGCTTGAAAAATCCGTCAGTCCTGTATAGCTCATTGGTTTGAGCAGTCGTCCGGATTGCGAAAGGTCGTGGGTTCGAATCTCATTTCAGAGTAACAAGGACGTGAGCTTTTTAAACATATTTCATTAAGAACATAGCAATATACTGGGTGGAACAGAACGACCGACACTCCCGAGATTCCTGGAGAGTACTATTTGTCTTTAAAATAATGTAAAAAAAAATTATAAGTCTAGGTCAAATAGTTTTAGTGATATTAAATTACAAAGTTTTTGAATAAAAATGAGTGTTTTCAACCCTGAGTCAGCTGTTTTTGGGACGTACTAAGGAAAAGTTTTTAATCGGTCATTGACTTCTTCATTTCTTAAAACAAAATAAACTAGTTTGTGATTTATAAGACTGCTTTCATGTAAATTCTAGCAGTCAATCAATAAACAAGGCAGTCAAAATGCTTAAATCGATTAACAGACTAACAGCCGGTTTATGATTTGAAAAAAGAAGAAAATTTCTACTGCTTATTCTCAATAACCTAAGTTTTTTTAATTTCACAAGTCAAATAGTCTTAGTTTTATCAAACTGCTATCAACTGATCATCAAAAAACCAAATCGGAAACGAAAACTAAGTGATCTTAGTTTGAGACGTTTAACTTTACATACTCAATTAAGCAACCGAGTGTAAAATTTCCTAAATTATTGTAGAGAGATCACTCTAACATTAATCTACGTTATTTTAAAAGAGCAGTTCTCCATAAAAATTGTTTGAATGGGGTGATACTCCTTTAATAACGGGATCGTTAACTAAACTCGATAAACTCACAAATCTTCCAGCGATTCATCATTAACACAAATGAACTTTGTTTTAAAAACATTGAGGAATTTGTTATTAAAATAGCATTTAAAAAGAACTTTAAAAAATGAGTGATATCAAAAGACGAATAAAAAAATATGAACCGAGTTCGTCCCTCAATATGAAAGTCCCGCCCACCCGCCAGCCGCCAGGCGGTTTCATTATTCTGTTGGTATTGTCCGGTCGATCAGTCGCCGCCGACCTTTTGCGCTGGAATGTTGTTGCGCATCGCCGCCGACTCACCGCTGCGAAGCGTCTTTTTTGTCGATTTTTGTTTTGTTCTAGTGCATTTTTAATTGAATTGTTGTTAATAAGATACTAGAGTGTTCGTCTTGAGTGTTATGTTTAGTTTAGTGAAAATTGTGTTTAGTTTTGTGTGAAATGTGATGTGTTTTGCACGTGCATACACTGGCATGCAAAAGAGCGTGCTTAGCTGTCTTCAGAGAAGAATTGAACATTTTCAGCATCGACTATCATTAAGATATCGGTAAATAATTAAATTAAATTAATGTATTTCGCGGTCCGTTGTAATCTGCGCACAATCGATATTGCGCATGCGCGTTAAAGGGCTGTCAACACTTAGAAATTTAAAATTTTTACTCCATTTTTACACCTCCTCTATTTTTAAATATTTGTCAAATAAAATGAACGTTTGCATGTAACCTAACTTGAAACTTTCGGCTGTGTCGGTCATTTTGTTCCTCCCTGTATTAGAATATAGATAGATGTAAATAGAAATAAGCAAATTGTAAGGGAAATGAAAAAATGTAACAAACAAAACTATCATGCTGAATATACAATACATATAAACAAAAGAAATGTAATAGAAAAGATAGAATAAGAAACCAGAAATAATGTATATTACAAATATAAGAAAGAAATGTAAAAGCAAAATATAGATAAGGAAGAACAATAAATGTGCACTAGATAAGGTAAAACTGTAAAGATAGATATAAATTAGAAATAAGAAGATATGTAAATATTAAAGAAACTAAATGTATCGAGTTTGAATGAGTAAAATTAGACTAGCAAGGTCCTGTCACTGGATGGGGAAAAGTATAAAAAACCTAATCACACATACTCAACGTTATTTACCATGTTTTTCAAACTGTGGATCTAGGCGACAGTCTCAAGGGCAAAACAAAAAAGTTAGAATCTACAAGCATTTACTACAGCAAAACGCATTTTTTATGAGAAGGTTGGTTTATTTTATAGTAAAATAACGAATTATGGTGCTATTTATTGAATCAACAATAGGTACCTAAATAAAGAAAGATATAAACATATAATGTAATCTTGGAATTATGCATTTTCTGTTATTCTTCCCCTTTGCCACTCTTGGGATATGTAAGTTTCATTATTTATTGTTTAATATTATTAATTTCGTTATTCAAGTTTTACTTAGCATGAGATCTCAAATTGAACTGTTGATTAGAGATAAAATTCAGAAAAAAAAAGCCAATGATTACAACTAAAACAACTTATCGATATTATCACATAGAATCACTAGAAAAAGACTACTGTTCAAACTCACCCAACTGCTTCTTCTCCATCATGGCCCGCACGTTCCATATGAACGGTGCACGGCACAGCTGGCACAGATCCGCCTCCTTCCACGTGGGCGTCTCCCTCCGGCGCACGCCCATCTCCCACACGCCCAGCGCGCCGTCCTCGCCCGCGGACACTAACCGCTCGCAGCTGCCCACGTACCAAAGGCCGGTCACTTTGTTGCTGATAAACGATTAAACTTATTAAGAATGATATAAATTAATAAAGAATATTTAACACCATCTATACTATGTAATTTCATATAGGGATGGAAGTTTATATAGGGAATTAAAACATTTCCATAGTAATCATTGTTTATTATTTATTTTGTCACTTTGATTATATCCGTGTCATTATATGAAACTAAATTCAATTCTAAACGTGGATTAACATAAGAACTAGTTTTTATCCCACTAAACAGTTCCCTAGAAAGCACGCTAAGTGCGGATCCAAGGGGTGGTCTCGGGGGTTATGAACCGCCTCCCTGGGCTTTAAATTTTTTTTGTACATAATGGTTTTATATGGATTTTATTTAAGTACTATAGTATAAGACTATTATTATCAAAATTAACTTCTCATAACTTGACCATGATTTTGTAATCCTACCTGGCCCCAAAGCTGGACCACCTTTGGACTACGCAGACGAAGCCCCTGACGGAATGCTAGTATTTAATTAAACAAAGTTTTTTACTCTTTGATCATATCAATTACTGGCGCAGGTCTTTCAGATGAAATTTCATTTATAAGAACAAAAATATCCATTTTCTAATGGATATTATAATTTACTGATTTTTTAATCTGGATAAATAAAAGGTAATTGCAATCGAATTTAAATATAAAAAAAAAAACAAATTTGAACTTCTTATAACTTATAACAGTCAAAACTAATGAAACCATTGAGTTTTATTGTTACCTGTGCCCCTGAAGTTCATACGCTGTGCCCTTCTGTCCACCAATATCCCAAACTATAATAGTCTGGTCGAAGGAGCCGCTAAAAAGCAATTGTGGTATTGGAGCCCAGTTCAATACCCTCACGGAACTGAAAGTAAACATAACCATAAAAACTCATTAGGTTAACACAGTTTAAGGTAAAGTTACTGTAAGCAGCATTTCTAACGAATATTTATTCATTATATCGTGTAAAACACCTGAAATAAAGTTTCATCCCCGATTTTATCCCCTTAGGAGTGGAATTTATTAAAATCCTTTCTTAGCGGATGCGTACGTCATAACATCTACCTGCATGCCAAATTTCAGCCGGATCAGTACAGTGGTTTGGGCTGTGCGTTGATAGATCACTATGTCAGTCAGTCACCTTTGAGTTATATATATTTTGATTTAAAATTTATTGCTATTATTATATACATGTATTTCTTCATAGAGATCTTCAAATTGTTATAATATGCCCATTTTCCAATTGGATATACTCAAAATAAGTACTCGTTTATCCATGATGCTTGTAACGAGTATTTCATCTCACCCCGTGTGTCCTTTCAGTGTAGTGACTAATGTTGCTCCGTTGTTATCTAATTTCAGCATCGTTATCTGTCCACTGTAATCGCCCACAAACGCATACTTCGACTGAGAGTCAAACCTAATATACTGTTCAGGAAATAATGTTATGTAATTAAATTTCATTGTTTAATCTAATTTATGTCATATATTAATTTTGGTATTAACGGGATTTGTGCTTTACCAATGAAATATAATTGAAAGCGATCTAAATGGTTCTTAGTGTTTTTTTTTTCATATCGTATGGATTTAGCTTAACGAAACGAATGCGAATTTTGTTACTAAAATGCGAGGAAAATAAAATATAATTTATTTGGTCTAGTCTAGACTATTACTAAACCTTAGTGATAATATGTGTTGGCCCAACATTTGGCCTGAAATAATTTAGTGGCTCAATGATGGACCAACTTAATTTTAATACTAGGAAAACACATATTAAAAGCTGATATTATTTAGTCTAGACTGTTACTAGAGTAGTAATATGTATGGGCACAACATCTGGCCTGAAATCATATGTTGGCATAATATGGCTATTTGCTATATTAGGGATTTTTTATCTCATTCAGTTAAATTGAGAAATAACTTCAAGAGCGCTCATTTAACTTCAATCCATGGACTTATCCGAAAAATAACCTTATTTATTTATTTAACAAACTTTGTTGACGGTTGGAATGGTACAATAGACAGACTTAATGCTAATAGAAATCTTCTGCCAGTCAACCTTTGGAATACAGAAAAACATGATGGCGGCATAAAGTTAACTAATAAATATACTTCTTAAACTATACTACAAATGAATTTATATACTATACATACATAAATAAATAATATTCCTACACATAAATACATATACAAATACACAAATATCAAACATATATGATGATTATCTTCATAAACGTTCCAAGAGAAAAGTGTGAGTTTTCCGTTTAAACGGTGAATTTGTTAGGAGATCGTCTGATGGTGTCTAGGAAGCCATTCCACAAAGAGTCGGCCATAAAGCCAGAATGGAAAAGTGGAGTAGTGCAAGTGTATTAGCAGAACGCAGTTGTCTATCATGAGAATCACAAAGGTATTGAAATTTACATTTAAGGTAATTTGGAGAATTAGGTTTAGAAAGAATGGAAAAAAGCATACAGAGCAGTCTCAGCTGTCTACGCTGACGAATAGGAATCCATTTTAGTTAAGACTGATAAGATGAAACATGGTCATACTTGCGAAGACAGAAAATAAAGCGAATTGCATTGTTGACAAGGCGGTCCAACTTATTGAGAAGATCTTCGTTTAAATCAGGGTAACAGACATAAGCATAGTCATTGATTGGAAGAATAAGAGAAATGACGGTCTAGCCCTCATTCAATTGAAATGATATCGCAGATTATGAGTCATCATCAACATCACCAGCCCTTTTACGTCCCCACTGCAGGGGCTCAGGCCTTCCTTATGGATGGTTAAGGAGGATGAGCCATGACCCTCCACGCTGGCCCAATGCGGATTGGAGGGTACTAACGACTGCAAATGCAGCCGGGGCCAACGGCTTAACGTGCCTTACGAAGCACGTAGTAGCTCGAGATAATAATTTTTTGGTCACCCATCCCGTGACCGACCCTTGCGAAAGTTGCTACGATCGCGGGCCGCGGCGCTTATCTAATACGCCACCGAGCTATTCAGATTATGAGTACGTACATGCAATTCGATGTAGAGATTTGTAACGGATATTGACAGTAACACTTGCGATTTTCCATACATATTATAAGGATGCGCGATTCGTGCGATATCGCTCCTCGATATCGAATTGCGCAAAAAGCATTAAAAAAAGATTTACAAGATTATTGTTTACCGGAGTCGTAGTATTTAAAAAACTGAACCATAATATCAAAAGTCTCAATTGAATAAAATGTTATTGTCACCCGGCTCGCTTTTCTTATAAGTACTGAGTCCATGCTTCAATCATAATTAATAAAAAAAAAAAAAAAAACTTTAAAGGATACTGCAAAGCGGTGCACCACGCCTCGAACGAGTATCCGCCGATCCTGCGCCCCGTTTCACTACAGTGGTAGGCGAACAACTTGTCCCGACTCACGGAGAGCACCCACTCGCAGCTCAACGAGAAGACGACCGCCGTCACTCGAGCTGTGTGAGCTAGGTACTCGCGACTCTGTCACAGATAATGTTGTTGGAATTTGAATTGAAAGCAGGCAGAATCGAGATAACGTTATGTCTACAGTCAAATGTCACTTTTCTCGGGTGCGCCCATACTATATCTCACTCTCGACCCGAAAAACTGACAAATGTATATAGACAAAGCGTTTCTCGATTTTGTTATGCTCCGCGTGCTGGGGGATCCAGAAGACTTGACCATTTAAGAAATACTCCATCCTTATTTAAGGCCGCAAATTGAACGCCTGCGGGCGTTTGTTTAAAGCTTGTATGAACCGTTCTGGACGGATTTAACGAGTTTAAAATATAATCGACATTTAAATAAGTATAATTAATAAACAAATATTAATCATTTCATACATCATTAAATGCGTCGAGAACGGGCTTATTCTAAGTGGAGAAGCTTAATGTCTGTACAACGAACTGGAGACCCTGAACCTTAAATACATTGTGAGACATGCTCGTCTCCCATCCGGTCAAGTAATCAATTAGTTCCACAGAGTTCACTAAAGAGGCTTTAGTATGCAACAGATCATCCTCAAATTACTAAACAGAAAAGGATTTGATAATTAACTTTTTACCCTTGATAATTTACCTAAGAATTTCTAAACACATGAAAGTTTAAAAATTTAAATTAAAAAATATGCTCAATACTGAACCCGAAAGGTCAATTGAGATTATACTCCTAAAAATCTGAACTTTATCAAGCAAATCTATTGTAAGCCTTCTAAACAGGACTTATTGCTGCAAATTTCTATTGCCAAATTACACCACTATCACATGTAGATATTTTGTTTTACAAATATTATTAAAAGTGTTGAGCAAAAATCAACGTGATAGTGAGAATGATTGGTATTCAATAATTAAAAAAATATATAATAATAGTGTAAATTTATCTAATAGTTGTAGTAATTGGACTCCACGTCCCGTAGCATCAAGATCTTCTGATGTGCCACACCATTTCCAGTTCCGGTTCTTTGCAGGTTAATAAGAAAACTAGCTTAAAATTTTTTGTTTTATGTATTGTTTATTAGCTTTTTGTTTAAATAAATTTATCACACTAATAAAAATAACATCAAGATCTCGGTATTCTGATGTACCAAACCATTTTCAGTTCCGGTTCTTTGCAGCTTAATAAGAAAACTGGCTTAAAATTTTTTGTTTTAAGTATTGTTTATTGGCTTTTTGTTTAAATAAATTTATCACACTAATAAAAATAACACTTGTGTAAAAATGAAGTAACATCGCCTAAATAATTATTTGACTCACCTAATATGAACATTATTAACTTCATGTTCATTTATTAATTTAATTATTGAGGCTATGGTCCAATGTGTTGGCTAGACTTTAAAATTTCATTGGTGTATTACAGTGATAGTAACAAAAACAGAGTAATGAATGTTTGAATTAAATATTTGGATAATTTCAGAAATGAAAATAGTAAATACTTGAGATTTATAAACTTACAGGATTAATTCTATTGCAGTCTGTTGCTAATGTAAATTCTGAAACAGTTCCATTTTCTTGTCCAATAAATAGTTGGCGGGTCTCTGGTGTGTAAAACATTGATGTGCATCCTGAGGGCATATATTGACAGATGCTCGGCCAATATTGCCCTGAGTCACGCTTCAACCATACTCGTACTGTCCTATTAATAAAAAAATAATTGATTAACACTTTTTACACAGAAATAACAAAACAATTTTTTAATGAAATGTTAGAAGTTCATTGTAGAGCCACTTTTACAAATAATACTTTCTTTATGACAATAACCCCCATAATCATGTGGTTGTGCACCAGTTTCAAGGTGATGCCATCTCTAAGCCACAGGTTCGATTTCTGGTCAGATCAATGTATAAAATAAACTTTCCTATACTATTTTGAGTGTTGTTGTGCCTTTGTTGTATCAGATTTTCATATCACAAGTGCTTAATTTGGAAGTTGACTAATGGATGTGATATTAATTATATATATATTTAAACTTTTACTTCAAAATATAATAAGTGAAGACATTGAAAATGTTGATAAAGTTCTTTATTAATTTAAAATTACTTTTAATTATATGCTTGTTTATCAAACACAAAATTCTTAATAGGTCTTATGATTTTGATTAAAATAAATTTTATATTGATAGAGTATTACAAGCCCTTTAATATCATCATATCATAAATTATGAAAAAAATGTTTTCATAATATCTTATTAGGCATTTTAAAAAACATGGGATTTAATTTCCTGAAACACTGGAATTCGAAAAATTTGGCAATTTTTGATATAGTTCTCGAACCATAATACATATGACTCATTGTTTACTAATCCAAGAGTAATAAAGGCAACAAAATTAGGGTAAACATATTGCCTAAACAGTAACTGAGGGTACATCTTAAGCTCAACTTCATTAGTATATTTGATTGTTTTCCAATTTCATGGGCATAAGACGTTGCCCGAAATAGGTCCTATATGACCAACTTCAGCTGAAATACTTGATAAAAAGTCTTACTTATCATCACAAACGCTAATTACACCATCTTCGCCTGGGATTACTACGGCAGCATTGACGTCGTCCGTGCAGCCTTCTAACTTGTTTAACAGCGCCGGTTTTTTCGTTGTGGAGAACCTGTCGTTAGGTGTTCTTGGAGCAGGCTTAATTTCCGCAGCCATTTCAAAATTTATTAATGCAAATAATTAGGAGATATCGACACCTTTTGAGAAACGAAACGGCAAACGTCATAATACTTTTGACATTCCGGTTCAGTGTCGCCAGCTTTTATTTATATACTACCTACAGAACGGCCTTTTACCATAGACTCTATGCCTTTTACGTACGATTCTTATTCTTCGATGGTAGAGATGGACGTTCAAACGAAAAGCACTTAGCGCGCTATTATAAGTGCAAAAGCGCTTTTTTACTTAGAAGAAAAGTATGTTAATGCTTATTGTGCGACCCTCCATCTATCAAGATATAACTATATACTTGCATAAGTTGATTGTATGCGTAACTAAACTGCTACTTAAGTAATTACTTTTGTTTATTCCTAAATAAACAATGTAAATAATTTTTGTTATGAGGTGATGGTGTGTATATAAAAAAATCTAAATATTATTGAACTGCATTAGTTTTAAGATTGTATAAATAAAATGTCGAGAAACGGTAATAGTATTGTACAACGGTCTTGTATTATACATAAAAACCTTCCTTTTAAATCACCCTATCTATAAAAAAAAAACCTCTCCAAAATCCGTTGCGTAGTTTTAAAGATTTAAGCATACATAGGGATAAAGAGACAGGGAAAGCGACTTTGTTTTATACTATGTAGTGATAACACAACGTTGCACGCTTATTGTAACGATTTCCAAAAGTCAGTTGAAAAAAAAGCGTTTAAGCATGAAGCAGTTTTTAAAAACGCTTATTAAAAATCGTACAACGTAAGAACGCTTAAAAAGTTTAAGCAGTTATCTCCACCTCTATCCGATGGCGGACTGTCATAGGCCGCGACACATAATATCGATATTTAACTCAATGTCGATGTTTTATAAAATTACATTTAATATTTCGTTGAACTGCTACAAAACTACTACTTATTAATTAATGTTATTATGTTATTCATATTAGTATTTCCTTTGTGAGACATGGCTAGACTAATTTATAGCCTATGTCAACCTTGTATGATGTAGCTACCTGTAGATGAAAGAAGTTTTAAAATCGGTCCAGTAACAATCAAACAATCAAACCTTTACCTAATTAAGCATATATATATATATATATAACCCACTGATAATATATAAAGCCAAATCTATATATATATATATATATATATATATATATATATATATATATATATATATATATAGATTTGGCTTTATATATTATCAGTGGTCGGAATTAGGTAGAGTTATTCATGTACTTATACTGATTTCATACAGCGAAAGAATAAAGTGGATATGCCTCAAATCCCGAGGTTAATTTTAAAGAGCAGAAAAAATCCGTGATTTTTTAAATAAAAAGTTATTTACTTTTACACAATTTAAACTACTGCACTCACGACGTTGCCAAACTTACATCAATGAAAGAAAGAAATAAAGAAATCCCGGGAAGGTCCACATTCATATCAACATTTCGATACAAGTATATAAATAACTCTACCTAATTCCGACCTCTGTATATTATAGACATAGATATTAATAGGATATTTTAAATATAGTTGAATTTTGGAATTATGAATAAATAATTTTAACTTAACTTAAAAAACTGTTCAACTTTGTTGAATAAACAAGAAAAAAGAAAGAAAACAATGTTGGTAGATCAAAAGTAGTATAATGAGGAAGTATTTAAAAAAACAAAGAAACTACAAAATTTTGTCACTAGATGGCAGCACAAATTGTAGGATTTAATTATCAATTCATGACGTTCTACCAAAGAGAATAAAATTGTCAGTATTGTTATGGATCTGATCATTCGGATTAATATTGAATACGTTTCAATTAATTCGAGTTACGCAAACGCAACTCGAGTAATACCAACGAATCTTTGAATAACTTTCTTTTTATTTGCATAAAAGAAAATAGAAACTAACGTAATGGAAGTGAGTATAGAGAAGGATTTTTAAAAGTTATGGAAATCGATAGAATTAATGCTGTGAAATTAAAAGAAGCATTTAGCTACTCAATTTATAAACTCATCATTATACAAAATGTTTTGAACTCAAAAAATGAAAATATTTATTATCTTTAATAAAAACAAAATCTTTAATTTGTGCTGCCATCTAGTGAAATAATTTTTTTAGTTTCTTAATTTTTTATGAAAATAGTTCCTCATTCTGCTAATTTCAAGTGAATAAATTTATTTCTATATGTGAAATCATTTTTAAGGACATTTTGAACTCAAATGAAATATCTAATCTATGATATTAGATTGTATGAAACGGGTATTAACGTAAAATTTATCTAGTCTTTGATTTTGAACAATGACGTCTTGGTTTTTGTTTTTGCTGACGTTACCCAGTTACCCAGTATAATGTATTATCTGTGGGTTACCCAGTCACTTAACTCACAGTTTAAAACATAAAAAAAACATTATCAATACATTTTTTAAATTCTTTAACAAGAAATCTGTGATACAGATCACATAAGTACACATTTTTGTCTAAAATCAACTGTTGTATTAAACAATATCAATAATCCTTGGCTTCCCCTGAAAATACATTTTTGCTTTTATGTATGTATGTATAATAGCATTATAGCTGAGACTAAACTAAGTAACTACCCATTGGTTGGGTTATACTAGTCATTCTATTTTCTTATTGCTTTTGTAACCGTGATTCTGATTGAAGTCAAAAAACCTATAGGTATAAGAGCTCTAGTATTTATTTATTGCATGCATTACTTCGATAAATTTTTGAAATCGATCGAATAAATAATTATATTTTTATGAATGAAACTGACTCTTAAGTCTTGACCTTCTTCGACATTGTAATAAACAGTGACGTTGTGTACCATAGGTATATCTATATATACACCGGCTGCATGACGATAGTATTTGTTAAAAGTGTTGCAGGCTTAAATAAAATGCATTGAATGCAGGAATAAGAAGTGCAAATCGGGACTTTATATAAACGAGATGATGATTAGCTGAGATCAACGATAATAGAAATGATCATAGGATTAAATACGATAAATTACAAACGATTGCGCAATACTTGATATATTTGGCAATAGCAATATTTTATTAGATTAAATTAAGTGAATTTAATGACTTGTAACATTAAAATTATTAGTGAAAAGATTTATTATAGTTAAAGAGTTATAAAATATGACTCATCATTAATTTTCGAAGTTTTATCACATCCGAAAGCTAACACATATATTTGACACAAATGTATTAAACTAACTAGTTAGCAACGTTTATTTTCATTTCAAGACCTACTTTCTTTTTCTATGTTGTATTTACTATTTACCTACTCTGGATTTTTTTTATACAAGTTAATTGGTAATTTCTAAACTTATGCCGGTATCCCTGTTTATGAAGGGAATTTTTTTTGGAGATAAGAAAAGTAGCTCCCCACCCTAGCACCCTCCTCTCCTCAGTTGGTGTCGGTTGGTGGTTAGCTGATGGGTGTTTGTGAATTTTTGAAAAAAAGGAGATTGGATTAATTTTTCTGTAGTGAACAGGAGTCAAAAAGTGTCACAATGTCTCACGCATTAAAAGGATTGACAACACAGCTGCTAAAGAATAATGCTGACACTATCAACATGGGCCTCCGGGCTAGCAGGTTATTTTAAAATCTTTAAAACCAGCTGTTTTGGTTATTTTACGTAACATGTTAATAAAATGTATAATATTTATAGCAATGGTAGGTTTTCACCACTTCGATTTTTCAAATAAATAAAGCTTTTTTGTATATTCATAGTTCATGAACATTTTTTCTTTTATTTTTTTTCTTTAATTTAAATAATAATAATTTCTTATTACCCCTTTTTAAACTATGTTTTGTTAGTTAATGTAACTTTTAATGTGATAAGGGCCTCTAACTTAAATTATCACTGCAACTATAAACTTAATTATGCAATAACCATGTTTATTTTTTATTATTATTAACATGACACAAGATTAATTTTATTCTACAGATATATTTTTCATTGTTAATTCAATTACGAAAATTATTGCAGTACTTGGTGGAGCAGTGTCAGTATGGGTCCACCAGATGTCATCCTTGGCATCACAGAGGCATATAAAAGAGACACAGATCCGAAAAAAGTTAACCTCGGGGTTGGAGCTTATAGGGATGATGAAGGGAAACCCTTTATACTGCCATCTGTTCGACAGGTTAGTTGTTTTTATATAGACAAAATGTTATTAATCTTTTTAAGAACTTGATCAGTAAACTCGTAATAATGTTTCACTTAGAAATATAGGATAGGTTTTACTTAATGATTCTTATAGTAGAAAATTGTAGAGTAATTCTTAACAAGTCTTCCCCTACTAAATAAACTATTGGAAGATGGAATACAGATCAGTTGGTAAGGATTGTTCAGAATATTTTTTGTGTTTCATTTATAATTTTTCTAATCTAGTTTTGCAACCAGATATTTTCGAGGAAAATAAAAGAAAAATTAAAACCTCCCAAAATATTTAACATCATTCTATCCTCACAAGGGTGCCCATATACAAAATTATTTTGTGATCTGTTTAGTATATTGGCCCAGTTGACCCAGTTACACAAACATCCATTAAAATTGACATAAATTTAAAGCATGTTGCTTTACAATACAAATTTTTGAATTTTGTCTATCTAATAATAAAATTTTCTTAAAGGCAGAGGAAAGGCTTCATTGTAAAATGCTGAACCATGAATATGCACCAATTGGAGGAGAGGCAGGCTATACTGACCTGGTTGCCCAACTTGCTTTCGGTGAAGACAGTCCTGTACTAAAGGAAAAATCAAATTGCACTGTCCAGGTAATACTTTTTACTTTGGCAACATTTTTTTCTGCAAAATTTCATACTCCTGTAACAGAGGTAAATAGTTTTAAATAGGAGTAATTGATGATACTCACTACGAAACATATGAACTTTTCATTAAGATTTACCAAAATATCTCTTTCATTTCCATTTTCAAGAAATGTTTTAATGAAAATATTTTTAATAATCACTCTGGGTTACATATAATATGTTGTTCTAATTTATCTTAATTTAAATAATGCATTCAAAAATAAATATTTGTTTGTGTATTGATTCTATTAAATCTTCGGATCATGATTATTTTTAAGTGATTATTCATAAATTTATTTAAAGATGTAAAACTTTTATGGGTGTGAATGCTGGGACTATCCACAATCTGTGGTTTTAATTTATTATTAACTGTAATCATTGCATATCTTTGTAGCATATTAAATGAAAATTCTTGTTATGATTTTCTTTAGACGTTGTCCGGCACTGGAGCCCTACGTCTTGGTCTGGAATTCATTACCAAGCACTACAATCAAACTAAGGAAATTTGGATGCCCTCACCGACTTGGGGTAACCACCCGCAGATTTGTAACACCCTTAATCTACCCCATAAGCAGTATCGGTACTATGACAAGAAGACCCATGGTTTTGATCTCTGTGGTGCAATGGAAGATATTAGCGTGAGTTGCTAGCTAGCTATTCTGTCTATCTATAAATATATAAAAGATGTCCTGACTTACTGACTACCATACAATGTACAGCTTAAACCACTGGTCTTTGAGACGTGATATTTTAGACTTGACTTGACATTTCTATTATTACTTAGAGGTGTACTAAGAACGGACTTTTTAAATTCCACTTTTAAGAGGATTAAAAAGGGTGAAAGTGTTTGTATGAAACTGATTTGTTTTTGGACCTATATCAAATGGCATTTGAGTAGTTATGACCCTGGGAAAGTAATAGGTTACATTTTATTCCGAAATGCAGCACATAAAAGGATGAAAATGGTAGTGAAACTTTTTATAGGAGATCAAAATGGTGTCATAGCAACCATAGTTTACTTACCTTTTTAATTTGTCATTGTAAAATATTTTTTTTAATATTATTTATAAAGATTTTCTTATACAGTGATAAAAAATAGTATTTAAGTACACTATATAAAATAAAAATTAAATTTTAAATATAATATTTTAAATACTTATTTTTATATATTCTACATTTCACTGTTTTGGTCAAAGTAGAGTTTTAAAACAAAATGTGGTAAGAACTTCCTAAAATCTAAAATGTAATAAGAGTTCGATGGCGCAGAGGTTAGTGCGCTCGGTCTGCGATACGGTTGTTAAACTTTCGCAAGGGTCGGTCATAGGATGGGTGACCAAAATTTTATAATCTCGAGCTCCTCCGTGCTTCAGAAGGCACTTGAAGCCGTTGGTCCCGAATGCATCTGCAGTCATTAACACCCACCAATCTACACTGGATCCGCGTGGTGGATGGTGAACAGCAGTGGGGATATTAATATGCTGGTGATGATAAAGAACTTTAAGCTTTGCTTTACTAGATGGCGTTTATTCTAAAGTTAACTACGTTATCATTGCGTTCAATAAATTTAGCGAAGATTTCAGTTTTTGAATAACTTTTGTGTGAACTTTGGGTTTATATTTATAAAATGCTGCCCAAAGTAGCTATACTACGCGGACGAAGTCGCGGGCATAAGCTAGTTATAATATAAACGGTCAGTTGCACAAACGTCCATTTTTAAATGTTACGGTTTAATAACGACATTATAGGTATCGTCAAGTAACTCCATATTGAGTACAGTTTTTAGCAGTGTTTAAAAGTTCTGTTACAAATTTAAATTATTTATTAAGTACATATTTATCAGTTTAATAACAACAATCATTAAGTTATCATGTTTTTGTAATTATTTGGCTTATAAGCAAAATCTCACAAAAAGCCATAGAGCCCTGACACATCAATATTTAGTCAGACATGACTTACTCAATCATGTCCAATTTCAAGAATTATTCAAGTTGCGTGCTATTTGTCCACGCGCCTTAAGCCTAGTTCGCATTATGCTAGTATTTTAGTCTAATAGCGAGTAATTAAGTAACTAAACATGTCTGAACAACAAAAAAATTGTCGAGTAGCTTAGTAAGTAATTAAGTCGAGTCGATCCATTTTATTCTATTTTTTTTGGGTGAGTAGTACCTCCCAACACACGTCCGTGCTTACCGAATCACCGGTTAAACGAGTCCGAACCTATCAAATTAGTCGAGTTCATTAGTTGCCTAAAAATGTCGTTTCGCTGGAGCAAAGAAACAACTTAAAATTCGTTTCCAAATATTTGGAAAATGAATGCTTGTGGAATATTAAGTCCAATTAGTATCTCCTAGTTTATCTCTTCTAGATCCATTTCCGAATCATATAAGCTATATTAATTGGATCTTACTGTAATATTGTTCAGATTGAACTTATTGTCGTGTATCGATACATATTAGTGGCAACACTGTTCTCCAATGATTACTCTACGGCTAATATAGAAAAAGGAATTGTCATGGCTGCTAGTGAAATACAAGGATTAATTAAAGTCAACTGAGTTTCTATTCAATATATATTTACAACAACTTCCTGATACATAAAAAACTTATCAACCGTTTTATGTCATAAGTGGGGCAAGACAAACGTTTTGTCCAAGTAGTTATCGTCAAAATTACGTCAGTAATAATCACAAATACCCCTACTGATGTAATAGATAAAGTACCTATACTATACAGTTATTTATGGATACAACATATTTACCATTTTTAATAAGTATTTCGTTTATCAACAACGCGATATACGATCACGTTCGCTTTGCATGGTTTCTTGTTCATTTACAACATAGATAATATTTACAACACATAGATTGAAAATTTACCAACAACTTGTTGAATGGTCTCACAGTAAATCGTTCAGTTCTGAACTTACATGATGTTTGTTACTCATGAATGATTAAAATTAAATTGAAAGAAGTCTGCATATGACCCACTTATATAAAAATAATTTTTCGATCTTGTATGTTTTCACAATTTTTTGTGAAAAATCTGCATACATTATACACTGTCCCTCAGTTCTACTTATGTTATTATAAAGATAAAAGTTCTAAGGATCGTGCCATGTCTTCTGTCTACCCCGGAAGGGATAGGGCGTAAAGTTTTAGATAGATAGATAAAAGTTGTATCTGGTGTGTGTCTAATACTAAGAAATTAAGAGCAAAAGGAAGTATATAATATCCTTTTTATATTTCAGAAAATCCCCGCTGGATCCATTATCTTGCTTCACGCTTGTGCGCACAATCCTACTGGTGTAGATCCTAAGAAAGAAGAATGGATTCAACTATCACAGGTAATGCTTAATTTTTTCACTAGCAGTCGTCCAATAAATATAGAAGTACAAATATATAGAAGTACTAGCAACAAAAAACTTTTAGAACATTTTGTTTTATTGAAATGCATGTTTCCCTTCTTTCTTATGCAAATGTTAATATTATATAATAAATATATGTATATAACGGCGGGTAGTCCGAAGGGGCTATTACGAAGCCCTCCATATCGGAGGACTATCTTTAAAATAACACTGCAGGCGTGTATACCAACGTGGATTTGTTCTATTTTATCACTTTTCTGACGAAAATATAACGAGATGAGCGTGATGTCATCTGAAGTCTTTACGCCTCGGCGTTTGGAAACAGAATGTGTGCCAAAATGGCGGCAACTTGGTTTTTATAAACGAACTGTCAAAGTCAGTGTCACCATTCTAATAAAATTAAAAGTATCGATGATCACGCTCTCTTTACAATCGAGTAATTAAGTAATCGAGTAACTAGCAATTAAAATAAAAGAAACTAAATCAAACGATCTTCGTAATGATGATGCGACATATACATATAACAAATAAGGCAAACATTTAAATTCGAGTATAAATTATAAACATTTAATAATTGAAGGATTAAGGTTTAATTTGTTAAATTTTTCTATTGATATTCTAGAACTAAACGTAGAAATCCTTACGCGTTTGTACCTTAATTAAGTCCTATTTTCAATCCTGACTTCAACAGGTGATCAAGGATAAGAAAATATTCCCGTTCTTCGATATGGCGTACCAGGGCTTCGCCACCGGGAGTGTAGACAATGACGCGTTCGCCGTACGCCAGTTCGTGAACGACGGCCATCAGGTCATGCTCGCGCAGAGTTTCGCCAAGAACATGGGTGAGTTTTGATTTGTAAAGACTAGCTGACCCAATAAATACTTAGATACTTAACTGGGAAAAGTATTTTAAAACTTTAATATGATCTTAATTGCCTAGTAAAATAGATGAATAATGCCAAAGAAGCATTCTCTACCAATCGACCAGTCGAGTTTGGTACAGAACTTTTTCTCCATAAAGTGTTACAAAAGGATAAACTTATCATTAATTTTAATTGTCCCGCGATTTATTGAAGTCTTATTTCAATAAACAGAATTACTGGTTGCCCTCGCAACAAAGTTGAGTTTTAGCTTATTAAAATGTGACGTTCTACCATGGCCTCCCGCGTTTCGGTTCTTGTAATCTACACATTATAAATAGCAAATTAATTTGCAATGATAAAATATACTTAAAATTTAATTATAAACAAAAAATGTTACTAAGTCATTGTTTATATATAAGATATAAGTTACCATTCATTTATTTATGTTACAACATATGTCATAAAATTATTATTATAAACTTATAACTGGCAAGTAGTCAATTGAGATAAAAACTTGTTAAACCAAAATAACACATACTTGCACTGGTGGCGTTACCCTAAGGGCCATAGTAAACCCATGCCTAGGGTGGCCAGATATTAGGGGCGGCTAAAAATGACATAAGTAAATAATATATTGTGTGCTAAATAGTGAAATACCGGTATTTTCCCGGTTAATACCCGGAAACACTTACATTAATGAGCTGAGATAACAACGAAATTAAAAGGCTGTTTTATTAAATAACATCTGTTTTATGTATTTGCATATTTGATACATATCGAAGTATTTTCATGAAATAACGACTGTTATTACTCATATGTTTACCAATTGTGTCTGACACGTCTATTCTACACTGATAATATAATTTCCGTTTGTGAGTGTTAAACCAAGCGCCGCGGCCCGTGATGGTAGTCGTTAAACAACTTTCGCAAGGGTCGGTCACGGGATGGGTGACTAAAAAATTATTATCTCGAGCTACTCCGTGCTTCGGAAGGCACGTTAAGCCGTTGGTCCCGGCTGCATTTTGCAGTCGTTAATACCCTCCAATCCGCATTGGGCCAGCGTGGAGGGTCATGGCCCATCCTCCTTAACCATCCATAAGGAAGGCCTGAACCACTGCTGTGTGGGGACGAAAAGGGCTGATGATGATTATGTTATTTCTCACAAGATTAATATTTTTTGAATATAATTCAATAAACATGGCCATGGATCTTGGCAAAGTGACTTGAACGCTATAAGATAATTTTGTTCCATAAAGTTTAAATATTAAACATAATACACATTGTCTATACACCGGCCCTGCGATTCTTTAAAAATCCGAATTGGAATTGTAACTGAACTAATTGCAATGAAACACAATACAAAATTATCGTATCTGTAAAAGTCATCGTTCAGATATTCACCCTATAGCATCTGTTTATCATGTTTGTTTATATTTCGTCATTTGATGACCATTGTCTTTCTGTCTACGATGTTTAATGAGATTAATTAAAAAATATTTAAGTTAAGAGAACTGAAGATTGTTGTAAACATAATTACGTATGCAGGGATAATTTTGACATTTCAAATGATTGTCTTTTATTTAAATTGATAACCTTTGACACCTTTCTTTTACTGTCAACTTACGATTATATAGTAAACTTTAATTTTGATTCATTTAAATTACATTCGGTGATTTAACACAATTACTTGAATTTAACTTGAACATTAATTGACAAAATTTTCAAGCACTTGTTACTTTTTGAACGTATTTTTTTTACATTTGCAGCCTTTATAGTTTTCCACTGTACGTTGAAATGATGTATTACTGTTGCCTCTTAACACATACAAATAGAAATAATAAAAAGAATGAAATAAATATTTAAGGGAGCTCCCATACAAACACTTGGCGGGTTCACATGATGACCCTATCGACCAATGTAAATGAGTCATAATTCTCGCTATAATTATAGATACAAAAACATTTTATTGATTTCATCAATAGATATGTTTATATTCTTTTAAAATGATATGTCTTTTTTGTTATTTTTCCAAAAAATTTGGTTTGTTTCAAAATAAGAAATACTTTTGTTTGTCTAAATTCGCCTTTTTTTTAACATATTTTAATTTAGTAAAACTTAATATAAATGGCGCAGTGCATAGCGCGCTCGGTCTGCGATACGGTTGTTAAGTAACATTCGCAATAGCCGGTGGGAGGCCAAAAATTAATTATCTCGAGCTCCTCCGTGTTTACTGCAAGTTGAACCGTTGGTCCCGACTGCATCTGAACCCCACCAAACTGATCTGGGCCGGCGTGGTGGGTTATGACAAATTCCATCCCAACAGTGGGAATATCAATAGGCTGGTGATGATGATGATATACTAAATTGTCGTAGGTCTGTACGGCGAGCGGGCGGGCGCTTTAACCTTCCTATGCGGTGACGCGGAGTCCGCCGCCAAGGTCATGTCTCAGGTGAAGATCATGATCCGCACCATGTACTCCAACCCTCCGCTGTACGGCGCGCGTATCGTACAAGAGATCCTATCAGTGCCGGAACTGAAGCAGCAATGGTGAGTGTGCGGGGGATAACAGCTTATAGATGGGAGAGTTATAATAAAAGTCACTTGTAGGCGATTATAATTAAAAGCAGAAATTTTATTTGGTCACTGTAGTAACAAAATTCTTATTTTTACACAAAGTCTCTTTATACTAATAAAATTTTAGAAAGGGAAAATAAAACTGGTGATATAATGGTAAAAATTGTATGGTAAAATGGTCTGAGTGAGTACTCGCGATTGGTTGAACACTAAATTTTACTTCGTTATAGAAACATCGCGAAATGTAATTTTAATTAATTATGAATTAAGTAGCGAGCAAATATAGCTGACGCGCTTTACCTACTTATTACTGTTCGATGTGCGGTCGGGACGATTCAGTGAGTATTATAAAGATCGTGAGATTATATTGATTTTCAGCAGGGCTTGTTTTTTGAACCGGGTCGACCTAAGTACTCGCGGAACTTTATACAGAAGGTTACGGTCCTTTGGTTTATTATAAATACGGTTTTATTCATTAACCGGTTTAAATATCACTCCAGGAAATGACCTCACGAACTTCGACGCAGTTTTTAAATGTGTTTATTCATATCCATTACATTCGTATACAGATATATAAATGTTGTCAATTAATCATCATATATTCGCATTAAAAGGGTAAGGACACTTCACTACGGGCCAAGCGAATTAATCGGTATTTTAAATCGGAATTCAGCTCCGCGTTCAGTTCCGCTCTGGAACGGAGCATTACAAGAGAAGTTTTTTTAAATGTTGCCTTAATGAGAACGGTTTATTTTGAACCGGTTTCAAGCCCTCATTTTCAGCAGAACAGACTTCGGGTTTGGGTGTCTTTTCAAAAGCAACACAGAGAGAAAGGGCTAGGGCAGTATGGATTATTTTTCGACTAACAGCTTAATCTGTCTTCTTGTGCTACGGAGGGCTTAAAATAAATAGTTATTTGTACTACAAATAGAAGATATTATGTGAAGAAAGTGTTAAAACGGCTGACGTTAGGCAAAATAAACTATAAGTTTTTGTTATATCGTGTAGGTTTTATAAAACTAGGTGTTTTATTGTTTAATGTACCTTCTGTAGGTGAAAGGATTTTTAAAATGAATGCAATAGTTTCGGAGCCTGTGCAATGCAACTAAGACGCATCTAATGAAACCTCATTGCGTCTTCAGTAACAGATGATGTAAAAACGATAATTATAAGGGCTACAGACCCGACTACAGCTAAATCACGCTGCAAAAAGTTTATGACAACATCACAGACTCCAAAATGAGTAGCTAAAGCCCCCGTATTATGGACTAAATGAGACAACGAAGGTACCACAACACCCAGGCCCGAGACTATGAAAAAGTTTATTTTCTACATTGAACCGATCGGGAATCGAACCTCATAGACCTCATAGATGGCGACACCTTGAAACCGGCGTGCGAACCACTCAGCTACGGATGTCGGCGTTCTTACATTATAAATTCTTAAACATACCGGCTAAAATCATAACAATAATTTTTCGCTTCGCCGTAGTCGGGTAAAAATGAACGTGTAATATTCAGGTTGGCCGACGTGAAGTCAATGGCGGATCGTATTATAAGTATGCGCCAACAGCTGCGCGCCGGCATCGAGGGCGCCGGCAACAAACAGAACTGGCAACACATCACCGACCAGATCGGCATGTTCTGCTACACGGGACTCAACGCCGACCAGGTAACTATTTCCTTTTCTTTAATAGTTGCACGACAAAGTGACTGTAATATACCTGGTGGGAAGTGACATTGCAGTTTAATAAATAGTCGCAGCTGTCGAAACTACTCCTGGTAGCCACCTCTACCTTGCCGGCCTGTTAAAGAGCCTTTTCAAACCTCTTTTGAAGCACCCAAGGTTATATTTAATTGGAAATACGTGGGATGGGAGTCTGTTCCACATTTTAATGGTACGCCAAATATATGCTTTGTCGAATTTTTTTCGTACGAGATGGTATAGTACAAACAGTCTGAGAATGGTAGCGAACACCGGTATACTCACCATCGTCAAATCACCAGCATATTAATGCTGGATCATTAGCCTTTAAAGGATGGAATCGAATGAAATCGAATGGGACATGACGCAGTTAGGATTGGTAGGTAATAACGACTGTATATGTCGGGACCAACGGCTTAACGTGCCTTCCGAAGCACGGAAGAGCAAGGGACGGTATATTTTTAGTCACCCATCCTATGAACGGCCATTGCAAAAGTTGCTTAACAGTAGTATTGCAGGCCGAGCGCTCTTACCACTGCGCCATAAAGCTATTCCTATAACTATGCTATGTTACATAAATATATTACTTGCTAGTTAATAAATAATATCGATATTTTGTGGCTCAAAGGGCGTAATCGACAGAACACAACTTTACAGGGGAGCTCAAAAAACTGAAATTAAAATTTTGTATTTGTACACAACGTTTTAAGAAATATTTATAAAGTTTTTTGGTGAACACGCCTTACAAATATGAAACGTGTATATGTCGCATCATCTTTACGAAGATCGTTTGATTTAGTTTCTTTTATTTTAATTGCTAGTTACTCGATTACTTCATTACTCGATTGTAGAGAGAGCGTCATCATCAAAAAGTTCGTTAATAAAAAGCAAGTTGCCGCCATTTTGGCACACATTCTGTTTCCAATCGCCGAGGAGTAAAGACATCCGACGACATCACGCTCATCTCGTTATATTTTCGTATGAAAAGTGATAAAATGGATTAGATCCACGTTGGTATACACGCCTGCAGTGTTATTTTAAAGATAGTCCTCCGATATGGACCATCTATTTGGGCTTCGTAATAGTCCCTTCGGACTACCCGCCGTTATATATATTTAACGCCCCTTAAAATGACTACTGTATCACGACTCATGACTAGTGCTGGAGGAATGTACTTTATATGGGCCACGTCCTTAAATCTTAAATTTGAGAGTGTCGTTTACGTCCAATACTTTGGTGACATCATATTAGTAATTGCTTTTACGTCCAAAAAAATGAATAAATCTACATCACCAGCCCTAAAATGTGGGGTCGTATTCACTTTCGAAGTGAGAACATTAAAAAAAAATACAGTTCGATGGCGTAAAAAAATCTGAATAAGATGGGATTCAAAACTAATTTTCGAGAAAACGGTGATTACAGCCTTTGAGCCGCAAGGTATCCACATGAAATGTGTAAACACAAACTATGGGCAAACTGGAAAACCGATAAGTTTCACCATTCATAATTTTACGTAAAATAATACATCGATTACACGGAGTCTTCATTGTGAGAGCGAATGAAATAGCATGACCGGTATCTTGCGGACGGTAGTTTCTCAAATTAGGATCGCAAACAAAGGACTTAACCGGTTTATAAAATCTAAGCTCCAGACAGTATCCAAGACATCACAACATTAGGAATCGAACCCAGGACCTGTGTTATGGTGATTCCTTAAAATCTGAGTGCGAACTTTTCGAAGGGTCCTTATTCTAAAGGACAAGTAGCAAAGTTCTTGTCTATAATGTTGTAACTTTCTTCAGGTTGCAAAGCTGACCAAAGATCACCACATCTATCTGACCAAAGATGGCCGCATTTCGGTAGCCGGTATCTCCTCCAAGAACGTGAACTATGTAGCCGAAGCCATGCACAAAGTCACTTCCTAAACTGTTTCACTTATCGAACAAGTCACTGCTTCATTTACTATGCATTTACCGGCGTTAGTTGTCTAGTCATCGTTCAACAGCAGCAGTGAGTCAAGTCGAAAATTCCATTACACGAGATTACGTAAAATTAAATCGAAGAGCACAGTATTTTGTTCTATACGAAGAACTTTAAATGTATAAAAGTTTTATTTTATTATTTCGTTTTTTAATATTTTGTATTGAAAATATAATTTTCTATCATAATATAAAATCATGTCAGATTTTAAACGACATATGTGTATATATATATATATATATATATATATTTAAATGTTGATTTGGTATTATATCTTGTTCTACTTACAGGTTGTTCTATTCGTGATTAATAATAAACGATGTTAAGTATGATTAAACTTTTATTGTTAAAATAAGTAGATAAAATAAACTTGATGCCAAAACACAGAAATTGTATTAACATTTTTCTTGCAGTGATTCTACAACTATATTCTACGCAAAATATATACAGCCGACCAAACAAATTAACTTCTTAAGTCTACTTCACTTAAAAACCAGATGCAGGTAAATCGTTAATATTGCCTTAGTAATATAAACAAATTTTATACATTATACAAGATTACATATAAAAGGTCCTTTAAGGACGTCACTTATAAGTAATGGGAACACATTTATCCACAAACACATGGTGTACTGTGGTAACAATCTTAACAATATTCACCTGCATCGAGATAAAAAAAATCCTATCTAAACCTATTTATTTCACTAAACTAAATCAGTTAATTATTGGACAACATACATCCAAATCCATCCAAAATCGTGTCATATAAATTTTATTATGATACATAATATACTAATAAATCATATAAGTCGACATTTGTCAATGATATTTCATTATATTATTAATAATATGTACAAATTTATATAAACCATAACTACATGGCACTTATTTCTTTAGAATATAAAACAATTCTTGTTAAAGCAAGAAATATGTACCATTATAATGCATTCATATCTTGAGTCTTAACCGTTTCCAAACGTCTCATAACCATCACTGGGAATTGTTTAAAGACAGAAATACACATTATAAGACATGCGCTACGAATGTTTGCCATGCAGTACTTAAATCTAAGGTGATGTTTAAAATGGCTCTTAAATTTACAAATTTTTAAATCTACTGTGAGTAAAGAAACACAGTTTAACTAAAGTTAGTATTATGACGAGAAAACTTTATATGTTCTGATTATCTAATTATGACAAAACTTAAGTTTTCACAACAAAAAAGTTGCCGTAGCACAGTGAAATTTATGAGAGACGATAACTGTGGTGTATAATTGAGAAACTTTACAATAATAGCAAAAGTTTGCGAGTAGTTGAAAAGAAAACCAAGCAGAAATGTTTCACGATCTTAAGTCGATCTCATACCAAATTGCACTCGATGATTTCTCTTATTAAAGAAACTATTATATTGATTTATACTCAATTTCAATGATAACTATAAAAAAACTGTTATATCTTTGAACTGAGAATGCCTAAAGTACGAACTCAGACTGAACACGTAAACAAGCTTATCAGAAGAAAAACTTGTAATTATAAAAAAAAAATATGTTGTGATTAGGCTTTTAAGTGTTATATTAACCATATTGTGAATGCTAATGTAAGTTACCCGAATAAAATATGATCAAATGGAGCATGAAACATAAAGTGTAGTGATATCCAAACTATTTGCTGTATTCGCATATCTTTTATGAATGTATATTTCTGTCATTATTAATATAAATGGTGGCATTTACATTTATCCTTACTTAAAAGTCAGTCTAATTCAGACACTGGCTTTACAAATGCCGACCGATACGTTCATAACATAATTTTTTACACTGTACTTAGCTAAAGAAACTAATAACTTCTTACGATATCTAATAGGCTTGATTCTAGCAAATAGGATAAATAAAATTCAATTTTATATTAATAAAAGTTATGTATAACAAACAAATTTTATTGTGGTAAACGTTTTGCACGTTTTATTAATATATTGTGCTAATGACAGTTTCTTTGTAATATCATACGATACTACTTACAATAATTTACTAAGACAAAACAATACAAAAATCATTTGTAGCCCATTGATCCACCACCAACTGACACGTAATATTCGCCATTGATCAACATAGTATTGAAATTAAACAAAACGATGGCCCTGAAATTCACCTTTTTGTGGCAAATATTATACATCTTTCGTGAAGAAAATTTATAAACACGTGCGTCGCTTTGAAGTCGAGAGAACTATACAGTAATCTTGAAAGTTTTCGTGTAATTAATTTAAAACAGTTTTTGCTAGGACTGCAACTTCTTATCGCCAGATCGCAGCACGAGTATATGTAGTAAATTGTGTTTTTATAAACGTCATTCATAGAGTAGCAAGCAGATTAAAGTAATAGGAACAACAGTAGGAATTCATAATTTTTTGAATTTGTAATTAGAAAGACTAATTTTGTATACTATGTCTATACATAGTATAAAACAGGCGCTTCCCGCTGTCTGTACACTGAGCTCTTATGAACTGCACAACGGAATCTAATACGATTTTCATCAATATACAGATTAATTTAGAAGTAAGTTTTATATGTATGATGTAGGACCATGCGGGCTAAGCCATTGGTGGAAAGCTAATATTCAATAAAATATCATTGCTGCATAATGCTTTATCAGATACTAGCTTTCCGCCTGATGTAAGAAGGAAAGGAATCATTCATTTCCAAATGACAAAACAACATGTGCTAGTGCTACCATCCAAGCTTTACGTAATATTCTATTCTATTCGCCATCTTGTTATCATTATCTAGCTCATTACCGGGTGCAATGTGATAGACAGGAATGGTCTAACACTCTTATCTAGTCAAGAGAAGTAATTGATTCAGAAACGCCTAATTTAAGCAAATATTTTTTACCAATAGACGAGAACTTTAATGAAGAACTGTCTATGGTTTATAATAGTGTTCTACTATTAACAACCGTCACTTCATTCAAATTCTTGTTCATTTGGTTAAAGATATCTGCTTATGGCATACTCAAGTAATTAATTTTCTCGATTATAGATTGTGTGTATGAAACGCTGCTGTACAACATACAAAAACAAAGGAGTTGAGGCGACAGATAATGCTACCAGTAGAATAATATATAGCGCTCTATAAGATTTTCAAACTTATTAAAAACCATTTTCATTACAAAATCCTCATGTTACACTGGGGACAACATTGGATCTAAACAAACATATTGGAGGGAACAATATAGTGATGCTTTAAAAAAAGATTTAAGACTATGACCTATTCATTAACCTTTCATAATGTTTTACATCTATAGTAATTCTCTATTACAACAAATATAATAAATTCACCATTTTTTTTTAAATCAACAAACATGACCCAAGTGCACTAAGTGACATTGAAGCCTGTACAAATATGGAGATGTATAATATTATGTATAAATTATTTAAATTATTCTGCTATTATGTAGTTGTGTTCAACGTAAATTATAAGCTAAAATAATTTATTTATAACATTATTCTCTTGCGAGGAGACTTGTACTGAAATGCTTTTGCATATACACGTATAACATAGAGAATATATTATGAGTAGGTAATCTTAAACATAAAGTACTTAACAAAACTAATGCTATATTTGTGCGTGATAAAAAAAATATACATACAATGAGCACTTAACTAAACGAAGACGCCATTTTATAGTTGTTTAAGAAACAGTAAAAGACTATTTTTGAATGAAAATTCATGAGAAATTATTGAAAGAAAGAATTATTGAAAGTTTGTTTAAGAAGAGTAAGAGGTTTTAAGGGCAAGTTTATAACAGTATGACCAGGACTGGATCTGCGGTGGTCGCCAGTGTCGCACGCATAAATCATAAATTTTATAAATATGGTAATATAAAATCCGGCTTCATAGAGGTGGGGGGGGTAGAGGAAGGGCTCCATTAGAAGTTTCTGCACCTAAATGACTGCCTGAGCTGAAGTTTTTTACCATTTCATTATTCGTGCTTATCGGTAAATTACACGTAAAAAATTGTTTGGAAAGAAATCAAAAAGAAGAAAACAGTTAAAACGTTTGCAATTACAATTCTTACTGAATCGACCCAACAGGCGAACAAAAAAAAAACAACTTTGTACAGAAAGAAGCACATCAGATACAACGTACTTTTAAATACGAGTCTTGTTTCCATAACTGTAAAGAGAGACGCGTTAGAAGTCCTTCTCATTAGCGCGTATCGATTCCGAAGTACTGAATTATTCTGATTGGTCGACATTTGCTGTTCTTCGATATATAGATCCACATTAGTTGTATGTAACCGTATCTATACTATTCTAGCATTGCTTATCATTCATATTATCCTAAAATTTAATTTACAATAAATCATACACGTGCAGCCTCTGCTAACGATAATTCAATTAAAAATTATTATTTACAATTTTCAAACACTTAAATCTCAAACCTAAGTTGATATAAGTAAACTAAATAAATAAAGATGACACGCTTACTGCACAAACATCAAAAGTTGAAAAAAAATTGAACCTAAAGCGGTACAACTACGCCGACAGTTTATATTAGGATCTCCAAGAGGCAAATTGACATGTAGCAATTGTGATCGTGACGTTATTTTTCAATGATGTTGACCGCAAGATGTCGTTAATTTAACGTTAATTGAAATAGGGATGATGACTGGGTAAAAAAAATGCAATGCTATTTAGTCCGTCAGTCAGATAATAGAAAAATATTAGATACGTATTTTTTTTATTCAATTTAACAAGAAATAACTTAGATAACAGGCATTGAAGTTGAGGAGTGGGGGCTCGCTACGTCACAGTTGAGTAGAAAACGTACTCTAACGTGACGTCATGCGAAATTTTAACTCCATGTAACGCCGTAATTTTATGATTACGAAAAAAAAAAATACGTGTTTGATATTTTTTAACACTCTACCTGACGGACAAACAAACAAAAATTTGTCATCATCCCTATCGTCTAAGGCAAGCGTTAGATGCAAATATCTTTGAAAGCTGAATCTTTCGACGACAATAGTGATTGCTATTTCAAAATATACGTTATTTGAATGGCATAGATTTTGAAAAATGATAATTAACCCACATGTGACCACTCAGCTATCACAGCATGGCTTTTGTTCTTATCAGACAGTTGCGTTACAAAATCTCTGTACCTACCCTGTTAGGGATTTTGCGCTGATATAAATATATAACGTTACGAATAAAAAATATAATCTGAGATATACAATATTTTACGAAATATATCTAGTCCATAGATAAATAGTTTACTTATTTATCTCGCTTATGTCGATGTCGCAGCTAAATTCAAAGTCTCGTTATGTAGAATTGCTGCATTTACAAATTCATTAGTCATTTAAAAAAAAATGTGATCAAATTTTAATTACTGACATGGGGAGCGACCGCGTGACTATAGCCATGATTGTAGTCATTGTATACGACATCTTAGCGATGTTGTATCGATATTTCGTTTCATTTTACTACTTCAACGTGTAATGTTCTTTAACACGTGGCGCTTTGGCGACTCATGCTCCTTAAAGGGTTGAAGCAGAATATAATTGTTTTGCTTCCTATGTGGGCAAATCATATATTGAGTCTTTTGCTATATTCTTCTAATTTATCTGTTGCGATGTAATTTTTTTTGTAGTTTTAGTTTATTTACTAACTTAACAATTATAAATCAGAATGTGTTGTTGATAATGCAAATGAAGTTTATTATTATTGCTTTTTTCACGACGAACTAATGATAATTATAGATTTAACAGCAGCGTTGCCAAATTAGTATTTTTATCCCAAATATATCCAACAAAAGACATGTCAAGAAGTAAGATTTAACGAAATAATGCCATAAATTCGATAGGATCGCGTATCCTACGGCTAGAATCATGGCTAGAGAATTAGGCGATCGCACTCCTGTACTATAATTTTTAATTAGATGGACTAAACTGACAGTTTAATTCACTTTATTTTTCTTTTAATATTGCAAGCAGTGTAGTGACACAGTTTTTTCATTAAACCATTCTGTGATATGACTCATCTTTATTGAGCAGACCTCGGAAAGTGATATTTAATGTCTTTATTCGGTTGTTTCACTTATTTTCCTAATGTCCGACCGAAATTAGAATCTTACTAAAAATACATAAAGTATTTTGAAACACACAAACTTTCCAAAAAATAAAAGATCTTACATTTAAAATTTATCACTATAATTTTCTAACTATAAGGTAAACTAAAAAGTATCGTATGGTAAGTATATGAACTAATCATAACTCAAAGATCACCTCCTATCTATGCGGTCACAACACTATTTTTTATTTACGATGAAGTGGCAACCCACAAAATGTCAGTTTAGACTATATAATAAAAAACAGATTTAAATGTACTGTTCATCTGTTACAAGTCGATGAAGTATTTACAATCTGTATAATAAAATAATACCAACTAAGAATGATACTGGCCTATTACATTAACTTTTTAATGAGCTCCGGGCTCTTCAATTCGAGTTTAGGCTTTAACTATTACGTTACAATCAGTGGTACAAATGGACCGGATCTCTGTTCTGAAGCTTAATATCAACGCTCCGTAAAAGTAAAAAATCCCTTTATATTGTTCCAGCACGGCAATATACCTATTTTTAGTTTGCAACGCGCACTAATACCAACTGACAACTCACAAAAGAAATTCATTCCGATTCGTAAATTCAATGAAGAATTATTTAGTTGGCGACACTATCTTCGATATGTTTCACTCAATTCTTGACCGGAAATGATGACATTAAAATGGACCTGAGACAATAATTTTCGTCCCTTCACGCGTAAAAAAATCAACGACTGAAATTTGCGGAGCATTTTAACTAACATATTAAAATACTGAAATTTGCAAAGTTCAAAACTTAGATATCAATACAAATACGAAAAAGTACAAATTGAATACGAGTTGTTTACTGAGTTTTGAAAATAAATTTACTTTTATACATGAAAGAAAACCGGAAGGGTTGTCATGGAGAAAGCAAGAAAGTACCGTAGCGACATCTAGTTTGATTTCTGGAACTAATTTTTTTAATACATCCTCATTGTAAACTAAGAACAGCTACCGAATGAAAAATTCGTGAAAAAATATATTTTTACACTGAACGAATAATGCGAAACATTTTCTTCTTTATATTTCCATCAAAGCCAAAAAGGTTGTTAGAGCTGCCTTCATAATAATATACAGACTATGGACATTTTAATTCACTAAATAATATTAATTGATGCATTTAGCAAAACGCCAAAATGTATCTTTGTAAACGGTTATTACATTTTGTACCAAAGTACTATAAAATACACAAATTTTATTAAGAAAATTGAATTGATGTGAAATGAACAATGTGCCTTCCACAAGTACTTTAACTTCTTGGCAACCCACTGCCAGTTTTAGGTATTACCAATATATTTAAATAAAAGTATATTTAATCGTTACAAAAAATATAATCAAAACGCAAGGTTGATTGATAATAAGGGAGCGTCCATTAATCACGTGATATTTTTTTTCAGCATTTTTTAACCTTCCCTCTTTCTTGGTGATACATGGCTGGGTTTAAGGCTATTTACACACAAATCACATGTATTTTTTAGTACCTAGAAAAAAAAAAACTTAATTTTTGACGCCGCTTTTCGGTTAGTAATCGCGCGTTTGAGGAAAAACTAAATACACGTGATATAGTACTACAACCGAGTTATATGTCGAGATTTTGACGACCCCCCCCCCCCCCCTTTAAAGCCTCACGTGATAATTGGACGGCCCCTTATCAGTTCAAACAATAAATACGCTAAAAAGCATTATTCATCTCGTCGTTTTTATTATTTTGATGTATCATGCTAACAGTGATTTAGATAAACAGTTTATCTTTTAGTTCAAAGATCGATATAGTATGAGGGTAGTCCAAATCCAAAGCCTCTAACATCAATAAAAGACAATATATTATACACACAGTACAGTACAACACATCGTTCGAAAAATTTTATCATTTCAACAAAAACAATACAGAGATTACCTCGTAACTTCACACCACTTCACATTATATGTCCCAGTTTATTCTAAGTCATTACATCTTTACGATACCAGATTTAACCCTAGAGTATTGCTCATTTACTTAAAGGCATAGTTTCACTTACAGTTTGTGAGTCAGTGGAGTTGGCAGAGTCTTCGCCCAGTAGTCTACTGAGTTGGTCGTGAAGAACGTCTTGTTGCCGAGACTCTCGAGCCTTCGTCTCCTCTCCGCAGAACACATCATCACCAACCATCATACTCTCCGCCAAATACGAGAAAGAATCCAAATTTATATCCGACGAACTAATCGCCGTACTGTATATATCTATCCGCTTTTGCTGCGATTTAGCCTCGGCCACCTTCTCCGACAACTTCTCTTTCGCTTTCGTCAACGCGTCCGATTCAGATTTATCGATTTTCGAATCTGACTCTTTCAATTTTTCGGCTGCTTTTGATTTGAGCGCGAAAGACGAATCGTTGCTCGATGAACCGTCGTCTTGAAGTTGGCTTAACAGTGTTCGCGTGGCTAATGATAATCCCGACGAAGTGCCGTAAATTTCACTGGGTTCTCCTAAAAGCACCAATGTTTCTTTATAAAAAAAAACATACATAATCTAAAAAAATATATAAATAACTATCACGCCTTTATCTTACCACCAACTGCTGCTGTTGAGATGCTCTCCTGTGAAGAGTGTTTACTTTTGGATTTGTGGCTGTCCACCATGTACTCATTTTCACTGTCGCTGGACATTCCAAGATCCAAATGCAAAGAGTTCAACTTGTCATCATCATCTTTGCCTTTCCGGGATACGGTGTCTAACTCCATCTCCCAATCAGTGACACTTGACGAATCCTTACCACCCTCTACGTTTTTGCTAAAACTAGATTTTTCAACCTCTTTTTCTAGAGTAGGTATACTAGAATCTTCCATGGGTTCTATACCACCTATACTGTCAGCAGTAGAGTCCAAACTACTTGCATTACAAGTATCGTCGGTGATTGGAGTCTCAAATAATACAGGAGTATCTTGGGTAATTTGTGCGACTTTAGTTCTCTCCTCGGATTCAATATTGGCGTTTCTACTTTCCAATATTTCCGACATAGTAGTTGCACGGCCAGTTTGGTCGTTATTCAGTTCTAGAACAATCACGTTCCCGCCACACTTAGAGACATCGGTTTGATCACATTTCGATGTTTGTAAAAGTTGGTTTATGTTCTTTCCCATTATTATTTTTGACATATCGTTACCGTTCTTTGTAAAAGTCAACGCTTTTCCAATGGTAGCTCCTTTTTGTACAACAATTACGCTGCCCTTTGTACTTGCCGGTCGAAGGATAGGATTCGTTATTTTTGGTGTAGTAATAGGAGTCATGCCTTTGACTGGCACAATATCAGCCAAGTTAGCTGTTTTAATTGGTTCCACATTAACAAGTTTAGTACTCGAAGCGATTGCGTTGACCACAGTTGGTTTTGAGACTACAGGTAATGCTACAGATTTAGAAACGGGAGTCGCTACTTGAGAACCGACAGGTACCAGTTTCATTGCCGTTGAGAGTCCTTTAAAATGCAAGAGTGGTATTTGTCCTTCAGGCCCCGGTTTCGTTCGAGCCTTTGCCGGTAGTACGACCATCTTTTGACCTGACTTCGGATTTAAAACTACAGTTTTAGCTGACACTTTCAGATCTGTAGTGGGTATCCCTTTAGGAGTAAAGGATTCAGTAGTTTTAGGTGATATACTATTTGTGTTTACTGGGACCATATTTTTGCCTGGTGTGTTAGCTACAGAGGATGTAATAATAATTTTAGAATTAGACAACGTTTTGATTTCCGATGTCGGTTTTGATACAACAATCATTTTCTCTGATGGGGTCCCTGGTGCCCTACTTTTTGGTATGGAACCTATAACCTTTGTAGCTACAATCTTTCCTGATGTTAAAGGTTTTTGCGTCGAAGTTGGCGTTACAACAACTGGCCGATTTGATAATACTTTTATTCCTCCTTCAGATGGTTTTTGTAATATTTTCAGTTCTGACATTTGTACTTTGTTGTCAGGAGTGATTTCACCGCGTTTCTTTATTATGAGATGACAAGGTTTGTTGCTTATTGCTTGTTTCGCAGTAGGCATTCCTTGTGCCTGCAATGTGGATGGATCATCTGCATGCAAGTTATCTGATACTCCTAGCTCGTGCGGTAATGTCGCAGGTTGTGTTAAAAGTTGCATAGTTGGGGAATCAGTCATTATGCCGGGGGATGTTAGACCTTTCGGTTTCATATCATCAATATAGTCAGGTTTGGGTTTGCTACCTAATACTGACTGAGCGTAACTAGCCTGAAAGGTGTTAGGTGGGCCAGAATAGTCGAGTTGCATTGATGTAGGATTGTATTGTTTACCAGGTGACATGGTTAGTTCCTGTTGTCTTTTTATTTGAGATTTTGTCATGGCAGCTTGAGCAGAATTTTTAGAACCTTTAAGTGATCTGTGTTTATGTGGTTTTTGTGTATGAGCTTGACTTGATTTACTAGTGGATACTTTGCTGACTTGATTATATGAATGTTTTGATTGGCCAGATGATTTACCTGTACAAATAAATAAAAATAAGTTATTTTGCTATTATAAGTAATTATTTATAGCCTAAAATATATAATCCAGGTGAATACAACAAAGTTAATTTATTTGTACATAAATAAAATTAATATAAACTTTAAAACATACTTGTAACCGGTTGAGAAAATTTCGAATATATCTGTGACAAATTCAGATGTTTCTGATTTGTGTTTACAGGGATATTCCTCATATTTTTGACTGGAGTCGTTACATCATCAGGTACTACACCTCCTTCAGGAATCTTTCTTTTACGACATATTATTTCTGTGTCCCATAGCTAAAAGTATCAAGAAAATTGTGATTAACGAAGTTTTAAAATAGTATGTAATAAATAGTTTATTTATTTATTAATACTGACTTTGCTTGTTTGATCTTCCATAGCTACTGGTGGATACAACATATCTTCTGCAATTTCATTTGAAGGAAGTGCACCCTCGGCTGTTTGTCCTTCAGCCTCAGATATATCTTCCTCATTTGATTTAGGAGCAACAAGCTTCTCAGCTTCAAGTTTCTTTATAAGCTCTTTATTTTCAGCAGCAGCAGCCTCAGCTGCTTTATCTGCAATCTCTGTGTACATTGTCTGAGGAATACCACGCGGCAAAAGGGGTATCCTCCGACGACCTTCACTGATCCATCCTAGACCTGTATTGGGACCTGCTAACCTGAAATAAATTTATTGTTATTAAGGTAAATATCACAGAGAAGTTAACGAATGAATAAATAATTTTGTTTGTATAAATCACATAACACACATGTTAGTTATTATTCAAATTGAATTTACTAGGTAAAAAAAAAAATATTATGACAACATACAATGGTGTCGTTACACATAATACAGGCCAGGATAACACAAAAAGGTAAAAACTCAGTAATAAGGTTGCTCACTAAATGAACTAAGGTCACCATCTTTGAGGTCCTGGATTCTAGTCCCAGTCTAGTCAATAGACAAAATGAACCTTATTATTGCCTCGTCTAGGTATTATAGTGACTTTATTTTAAATATCCATTATATAGCCTTTGTTAAATTTATGAATTTTACCATCACCGTGTCTTTGGATTCAAATATGTATTAATGAAAGGGCAAACTGATGCTTTTCTACTATCTAGGGGTCATCCATAAATTAAGTCACACAAATTTCATTAGTTTTGACCTCCCGGTCCTCCCTCGCAATTAATTTAAGAATTATACTTCCATTAATTACAGTGGAATTTGTTAATTAAATTTTCCTTTAATTAAAGAAAAATGAACAAATATATCATATTAAGTGGCAGTTATTCAAAACATATATATTCATAGAAAATCGCATACTTTCACTTCTTGGTATAATTATTTCAAACAAGGTAATTATCAGTCAAATAAAAATTAATATTATACATACTATGTACAATACTTATCTTTCACATTGTCAAAAAAGTGTAAAGACACTTGCAAATACTGACAATAGTATTGGTATTCACATCATGTTAGTAATTATAATTGAATATGATTTCTGAGGATACTGGACCATTTTTAAAAATTATACCTATGGGAAGATTCATCTTACACAACAACAAATTGGTGCTATAGGCTATACTTTACATGTCAAAATTAAAAATTAGAGGAAAACAACTAGTAGAAAACAGAATCTGCTATGGCCATTATGATTTTATCATATTTGACTTTATTGTAATTTTTTAATCAAGTCTAATTAATAATTTTAACTATATTATTAAAGCTTTTTAATTATTATCATCACATATATAATAGCCATAATTGAAAACAATCTCATTTTAAAGTCAGACAAATATTATTTTTAGTAGATGAACAGATACAATTTTTATTATGTTCCATTTTCTTAGGTTTAAGTATTTTATTTTAAATATAATAAACTAAATGTAAGTAGCTATCAATCATATTTCTGTTGTAATCCATTTCAATAAAATTTATTAAGTTAGTTAGGTTACTATTCATTAAACAAATATATGATTACAAATTATTTTATATATTCTTATAATAGTAAGATGGGACTGTGTGAATTTCAATTTAAAAAATAAACTGTCATATCTATTTAATTAGAGGTTAGCTGTCAAAATTATTTTTTATATAAAATTACTAAAATCCTTTTATTAATGTAGGAAATATTAAAATATGAAAGCACAAAACAGCATCATTCAATAAATTTTGACATTATCCTATTAATATTATAAAGGCGAAAGTTTGTAAGTATGGATGTATGGATGTTTGTTACTCTTTCACGAAAAAACTACTGGACGGATTTGGATAAAACTTTACAGCAATATAGGTTATACATCAGAATAACACATAGGGTACTTTTTACTGGGAAAACTTCTCACTCCCACGGGATACCGACTTCCACGCGGACGAAGTCGCGGGCGTCCACTAGTTATCTATATGGCCAAGATAAAACTAATTTCAAGCAAAAAAACTGCACTAATAAATGTCAAACTTTCATGTATTCCTATAAGATTAAAAATATATAAAAGTGCTCAAAAAGCTAAGAAGGAATTGGGGTACATCAATGCTTATGACTTTTCAACACTCTCAGCCATCTTTGAGTATTCTATGTGTGTAAAAATAAGACTATCAACAGTCTACAAAAATATCATTATTCTACAATATTAACTCACTGTTCTGCAATTGTAGCCAATAATTCATCATTAGACACGCGGCGCGCCTCAGCGCTATGCCGATCATTGCTTATATGCAAAACGGCGCGTAGCTCCTCGAGTAACTTTTTTCTGTTGTCTTCCAATGCCCCCTGAGCTCTAAATACACTGATCATATTAGAGTAGGCTTCCAATTCTGGAAACAAAGAAACATACCATCATGGAATAATATAAACCTTGTTTTAATCTTAAAAAGATGCTGCCGACTTATCAGTACATTGTACAAAACTATAGGAGGGAAAAATTAATGCTTGGAGACTAAATATATACCAAGTCTTCGGAGCGTCCGACGACATTCGTCGTGGGTTAAATTTAAGAGCATGGGCCACATTTTCAAATGCTTCAAATTATAGTGAATTAAACACTCTTCCACTGTATTATTCTCCACATATTTTAGAAAATACAGAATTGGCAAATATCCATACTGTTTACTTCAAACAATTCGTTCAGTTTTGACACTTCAAAAAATAAGACGGCTTTATTTCTTGTCTATGATATTACATAATACCAGGGTGAAATATAAATCACCCCTAAATAAGAAAAAAGGAATTTGTGGTTTATATTTAATCGATTCTTTAGTAAAGATATATATTATATTTTATAAGAAAGATTAGGTTGCATACAACGAAGATTATTGTGAAATCATTTAATACGACTCATCTCAACGGGACAGCAGTGAGCCGGACCCCTGTCTGCAATTAAAAAATCCTATAAACAGTAAAAGTAAATGGAATCATTATAAAAATAGGTCATCGTCATCCATAATTTTAACTCATTCAAGTGTTCCTTTTAAGATCTGACATTCGAAAATTTATTCCGACAAACGCAAAGGCAGTTTCTATAGAAATTATCCCATGTTCAAGGGGTATTTTTTTCTGGGCAACTTTTCTTCTGTCGTTACCAAAGACAAGAAGAAGTAAAATAAAATAGGCATTTACAGAGTAAGTTTGGTATAATGAACGCATAAAGTTCTTCAATACAATACCTACATAAATAATAAACAATATTTCATACACACTACACTACATAAATATTTTGAGGTACGAGTTTTATTAATTTAATTTCAAGAACTATTCTACATCATTTATCGCAATACATATTTCCTGTCTCCTTATTCTGAAATATAAAATAACAATCGAAATAAAGTTCTGTGGGAAAGCGGTCATACGATTAAGTGATTTGACACATTGAATTTGTTCACTTTTACGTTATTATGAGTTTATGCTGTCATAAAGTATTTAAAAACGATACAAATATTTTATGAAAAAAATATTATAATTTGACTGTATGCACAATATCCCTTGCTATTATTTAAAATTAATAAAATATGTCTCTATGTCAACTAGGTATACATTCGTGTGGTATACCAGCTCACTTACATTTTAAGATATAATTACGATTATCGATTATGTCAAATTTTATTTTGGAATGAGGAAGTATTTATTTAGAAACGAAATCACTAAAAAAGCATCTCCACTAGATGGCGACTCTAGCAAAAGTTGATTTTTGCAGGAAACGAATTCAAAGACAGTAATTTCCGTTCCTATTAACTAATATATTAAAAGACTGAAATTTTAAAAGTTTGAATCTTTGATATCAATACAAATACGAAAAATTACAAATAAAATATGAGTTGTTTATTGAGTTTTGAAAACTAATTTATTTTCAAACATGAAAGAAAACCAGAATGGAGAAATCAAGAACGTACTGTGGCGACATCTAGTTAGATTTCAGTAACTATTTTTTTTTTAATTTTTCCGCATTGAATCAATAGTTGATATAATTACTTTTAAATTATCGTGATTGTACTATATAGTCAGCACGTACAAGTGGTGGGTGCGCTTTAGTATAAGCCAATGCGGTTAGCGCACATTTAAACACATGAAACTCACGCTATCCACGTGTCAGCCATATAAAACTATTTTGCACTTGATAGTGCATGTAGTATTAATGATATGGAGAGCGAATTTAGAAGATAATAGTCAATACTTAATATGTTTATTGTATCTATAGGTATATTAATATGTTATATAGTTTAGTTACTTTCACAGAGGATTCTGCTGGATACAACAATAATAGAAAGAAGGAGTACTAGTTTTTATGATTGTAATTAATAAATAATTATAAATTTTCAATTTCGTTAATGTTATAATTTAAACATAGATATATTATATTGGTATTATTACTTAGTATGTCATAAATTAATTCCGTCTAAATAGATATTAATTACTTATCTATAAAATATATATAATATTTAATTAAATTTACCTAATTTATATTTTTGTCTTTTATATATTCCGATATATTATAATGATTGATTTAAATTATCCATAATTTTTTTGTCTTCTTTATTGTCCTTATATATGTTATAATTTTTTATTGACATGACAAATGGGCTTGAAATGGTGTTTAATTTTAGAAGGTCGTAACATTAATTTATTTTAGGTTTAAATAAATTAATGTTACGACTTTACATGGTTCCAATATATGGCAGCGTTGGGCTTTTTATATTTTTAAAGTAAGTACATTCCAGCATGTTGAATTGACTACTTAACTGTTTTGGGAAAAGTCTTTTGAATCTTTCATATTATCACATAAATTCTCTATCAGATTTGTTTTTTCCGAAAAGTGTATATTTAATAAAAATTTTTATTCATTTTCCTCTCATTCAGATTTAATCAATTCTGTTATTGTCGTAGGTAGAATTCGATTGGTAGGTAGAAGCTCTTGAAATTGTCGATCATTATGTATACTTAACATAATGATCGACAATACAGCCGTCAAATACAGATTAGATGGGCAGGGATCGGAAAGCAACAAAAAATCTTCGCGTTCAAATTACCTCAGTGCCTCAAGACCAGTATGTGTTTCCGATGTTTGTTGATTATTTATATATGCGAAAACGATCATTCACATGACATTTCAAGCCGGTATGTTACATTTCAATAGATGATTACTGGTTGCCCTCTCAGCAAAGACTTAGGCATTAATTTTATTCTTGTTGTCACACGATGCACCGTCATGTACTTATGACCACTCGCGTTTTGGTTTGCAATTTACAGATTATAAATAGCGAGTTATTCTTGCAAAAACATACAATTTATTTTAAAACAAAAAATAATTCATGGTTATTGTTTAGATGTAAGTTAACATTTCCAACCCTCACATTTTATAATTTATAGTTATATAACTATTTCTGTCTACATAGCTGTCAAATAGCCAATTTATTATCTAGATTATTTTGTCAATCAGCAGCCGCATCGTGATGGAGGTTACGATTGTGCTATATAATTAATTGATATTTATTAATATATTGTGATTTATTATATTAATAAACCTTAATCAGATCACTTACTACATTGACTGTAATGGTTGCCTTACATTTACTACGAAAAAGCTTTCATATCATTTCAGACTTTCTAAACTGACCCAAGGAAGTGGTAATGATACTTCCATTAAAAAAAAAAATTGTTCCCGAAATCAAACTAGATGTCGCTACGGTACGTTCTTGATTTCTCCATGACAAACTTTCCGGTTTACTTACATATTTAAAAGTAAATTAGTTTTCAAAACTCAATGAACAACTCATATTCTATTTGTACTTTTTCTTATTTGTATTGATATCAAAGTTTCGAACTTTTCAAATTTCAGTTTTTAAATATGTTAGTTAATAGGAACGGAAATGACTGTCTTTGGTCCATTCGTTTCCTGCAAAAATCAACTTTTGCTAGAGTCGCCTTCTAGTGGAGGTACTTTTTAGTGCTTTCGTTTTTTTTAAACACTTTCTCATTTCTACGATCAACGAATTTTGCCTCGACTCGTCAAGTTTTCATCTGTAGCTTCAGACAATAGTTTAAATTAAATTGTCTCAAAACGCCTAGATATATGCTAGACATTTTTTAGACAGATATATATACACTTTGAATTTTAAACCACATTTTTTATACTTTTCATTGATCTGTTATATTCAAATTTTATTCCATATAATCGATTATGATTACATAGCGCATGCCTAATGTCAAATATTTAACGTAATTTGACAGTTTGAAATTTTGAACTTTTCGATCTGTTTGGTTTTTGTTGTGCTCGACGCTACTGAAATTATTTTTTTATTGTTCAAGTGTTCATGAAAGATTTGTTCCAACCATGGCGTATGTAGATGAAATAATTGACTATATTAAGTCCCTAAAAAAAGGTTTCGATAAAGATTTATTTCAGTCTAAAGTAGACGAATTAGCCTATGCTGTTGATACAACGGGTTTGGATTATGATGATTTTCACACTCTGTTTAAAGTTTGGTTGAATCTATCGATACGTAAGTGTTATTTATAGCACCTTTATCCATGTAAATCAAGATCCCAATAGGAAAGGACTCATTGATCATTTTAATTTTAGCTATAAACAAATGGATCAGTTTGGGCACCTGTATGGTTCCTCCAGAGAAAGTTGAAGAGAAAACTGTGGAGTATTCATTTCGTTGGATTCTTGCAAACTATGAGGACCAAACAAGTTTCTCTAGAATATGTTTCTTGCTCGACTGGCTTACTGGTATTGTAGTAATTAAATTAAAATATTTTTAAGGCATTAAATATTTAATTATGTTATCTATTTATGTGACTTTCCAGCTGCAATGGACTGTGATTGTATTGACAGAACCTCACTTGATTCTGGCTATGAGATATTTTATGTGATGCTGTCATTTGAAGTACTTGTAAGTAGAAATATAAATAATGTTTTCAGCTTTATAGTCTTCAGTTTCCAATCCTGTCTAATTGTATAATATGCTTTTTTAATTCATTCATTTTAAAAATGTATTTATCATTTGAATGCTGATTTTAGACTGCTCATGCAATGAAACTTGTTTACACGCTGACCAAACCAAGAGATGTGACCCGCAGAAGAGTACTTGAACTTTTTGATTATGCAAAGAAAAGGGAAGCTAAAAAAGTAAGTTGGTGAATTATTTTCATTCTTCTAAAACAAAATAATATTATAAGCACATTATCTCTGTATTGTTTAAAATGGTTTTTGATGTATTACAGAAGTTACATAGTCAACTTTTAGTATTACTTGGTCTATTCAAGTCATACAAACCTGAGTGTGTGCCTGAGAATGTTCCTGCAATATCTGTACATACTGCTTTCAAAAAGATTAATGCAGCATTAGTAGCTAGATTCAAGAGAATCCAGGTCAGTTTTAAATAGATACTGTTTGATTGGTTAACATAGTTTTTTTTTTAATTTTATTAGAACAGTTTAGTTCTGTTTAGAGCAGTGGTTATTAACCAATGGTCCATGAACCACTTGTGCACCCCAAGTGGTCTATGATGTAGAGGTTTAATTTATAGATAGTCTAGTACATACTATACCTACATTTAGATACTGCATGGCAATATGGCAATAAAATATATTCTATTCTATTCATATAAAATCAAGTGAATGGTCTAGGTAGTAATTTGTTAAATGGTCACTTATGATTGAAAGGTTAAGAACTACTGGTTAAATAAAGCAATTGTGACAAGTAAATTGGATGAAAAAGATGTGGCAGCAAACCCAAGTTTCCATACACCTTGGGACAAACTTAGTTTTTCATTATTGTCACTATAATGATTCATATAAATATATCGTAATAAAGACTCAAATAAATAAAAAAAAATGTAAGCCTTGTATCAATGATGAATGTCTAGCCAAAAGCTGCATTTAATGGAACTACAAAGACCTACCTACTGCATGTTTAATGCTATCTAATTTGGATCAGAAAAATGATAGTCAATTCTAAAATTATCAGTAATTAATTTAAATGGCACATTAGCATATGGAAGAAAAATTTGTAATAAAGAAAGTTTAGAAAAGCCACTTTATCCCTTGCACTCTGAGATGGGACTGGAATCCATGACCTTTCGAGATCTAGGCAACTGTTCTAACCACTGAGCTACCCATGACCTAACAGGACTGATGAATTTTTCAAGCACTTGTTTCTTTTTTGCTACTACACTTTTTTGGTTTTCATTCTGAGGACACAAACTTTGTCAATATGTAATTTTCAATTGATTACAAACTCTACATATTTTCAAAGTGATGCCTGTTTAAAATAACTATATGTGGTTTTATAGCTTTTCATAGATAGTGCTTTATAAAATTTTTCAATGATTTGATTTATGTTTTAGGAAAGTAGAAACAGATCAAGCAAGGACAGACACCATTTAATGTGGATAAACCCAGTGAACTCAGTAAGTTTTTAATAGATTTTAAATTTGGTAGTGAAAAATAAGTCACGAAAATGCACAATAACTAAAAATTTTAAAAGTTGTAATATTTTGTCTGTGTTTCATGTGAGACATTAGCCGTAAAGAAATGGCTATTAATTATAACTCATTTTATTTTGTAAACAATCTTTAGTTAGATAGCATTGTTCTAGTATTATTGACATCTTTTAATCTTCTACTCTATGTATCTGTTTTGTATACATATCAGCTTGACTTCATGAATATGATGAACAGCGTTTATGCGGGTATAATGTTTAAAATTTGTCTTTTCTGAAATATTTGTATGTATTATTTCATGTATGTGTATGTATTATTTCAAACAGAGTAGAGTACCTTATTGTTAGTTAACATTTGATCATTCTTAGTATATTGGTTTCTTTTAATTTTGTTTATACTAGAAAGAAATAAATAAAACATAATATAAAGTAATGTCGAAATTAAATGACGGTCAACTAATTTATATAGTCCTGAGAGATGAAAAATTGTTAACTCAGGCTACTCCGTGCTTCAGAAGGCACAGTAAGCTATTCCTGTTGAACATTTAATTTTAAATTGCACAATCACTCTTCCTGTGACATTTTAAGTTCTTGTAAAATACCTTAACTAGTCTAGTTCTAGTTTGAATTTCCATCAAACAATTTATGTACATTTTTAGGAGAGAACAAACAAAAAATTACCACCTCTTGTACCCAACATGGAGTTCCTGAATATTGGCTCTAAACAGTATGCTGAAAAAGAATCAATGAAAACATATCTTGATTTTTCTGAGTGAGTAAGAAATTATTTATGTTTGTGATAAATTTAAAACTTAATCTGTCAATTTTAAGATTGTAATTAAGTGCGGCAGTTTGTTATTTCTGGTATTGTGCTGCTGTATTTATTGAAATATGAAATTACAATTATATAGGTATATTATAATAAATGGTAGAAAGCAGGTGGTTCTGTGTAGTTGCATTTTGGCAGGAATACTGCAATACTACTTGTAATTTGATTCACACATATTTAGTTGCAAAGTAGGTAACCAACCTTTTTTATGGATTTATTCTTATTTTTTGAACTTAGTGTTCGTAACTAAGCTTTAACTGAAGTGACTTAATTAAAAAAAATGTGTAATTGAGCTCCTTGGTTCACAAACACAAACACCACAAATTGAACCCGAGCATGTTGCTATGCTTACTCATGCTCAACTTATAATGTGTCTGCCATATACATGTCAAGAGTATCCATGAAATACCATCCATTGGGAACACCTTAGCCCCTGCAGTGAGGATGTAAAAGGGCTGATGATGATACACGTCAGGTGCTAAGTCAATTTAACTTAACCTGTGTTGTTAACTAAATTTTGCCTGTTACCTCAACAAAATATGAATGTAGCTCTTATTGTAAGTGTTTAGTTACGCAGTATTGTCCGACGATTTTTAATTTTGCAACTGAAGTTTTTGAGTTCGGTATATCAAGACACAAACTTTGCAGCTTAGTCTACTGTTTGAAAAATAATTATGTATATACTTTTCAGTCCAGTATCCCTCCTACAATACAGTTTACATCATACAATGTCTCGTCCGACGCGTCTTCGAGCGCTCTTATGTAATGAGAGCGGTCTGACATTACTAGCTGTTGCATCTGACGTTGAACATACATTACTGTCACATGATCTGCATCACCTGCTTACGAGCTGTAAGTTTATAAGGATGATATGATTTTACAAAGCTTGCGGCATTTAAGGCCCGCTTTGTAATAAGGCCCATTATTAGAAATGCACACTTATACACTTCTATTCCTGTTCAAACTACTCACACATGCATAACACCGATAGATACGCCGTAAAAGTTTGAACAGTAATAGAAGCAAGGTTCATACTTAGCAAGGTATTTTTTTATTTTGGATAATTACAGAATGACAATTATACGTCTTTCATAATTTAATAAACTTTTATTTTTGTTGTTTTAAATTTTAATATAATTAATTTAAAAAAAATAACGTAAAAGGGGGTTTTTAATATTTATTTGTATTTGTAGGTCTATCCTAGTAAATTTTTTTATATTAGAAAAACCGTATTTGACAATTGTTTAAAAATTATCCTCTAATAACAAGCCCTAAAGTCCAAAAAGAGTTCGTGTTGGGTTTTATAATTATCACTCTGAACCCTGAATAGAAGTGGTTTATAATAGTAAAGAGGAGTCTTATACACGGGCCTTAATTGCCGTATAATAAGGTATTGTTCTAAATGGGAAACAATGGTCCAGGCGTAAATTTTGAACTAATATGAACTCGATATGTACAAGTGTTTGTAACAGCTTGAGACGGAATAAATGAAAAACCTGACATGGTTTCATTGTTAGTTGCGTACCGTGTTCAACTTCCATTCATCATCATCACCACCGGCTGGTGAAATGCTGGTGTATTAATTGCGAAACTTGCTTAAGAACCGTATCGTAGATGGAGTGCGCTTACCACTGCACCATCTAGCTTATCATTCGTACATTATGACCGTATTAATATCTGCTGCTGGTGATCAGGTTTATACTATTGACGGTCACAAGTATGGAAAGGGAGGCCATAATGCACCATGTGGACCCAGTACAGATTGGTGTTAACAACTGTTAATGTAGCTAGGATCAACGAGTTAATGTGCATGGAGGAGCATAAAATAATATTTTTTGGTCACCTCCGTAATCTTGCAAAAAGAGGGAAAAAGAAACTTGAAAATAAAGGTAATATGTCCATAAAAAGTAATTTAATTCAATAATAATCACAATTTCCACTCTTATGTAAAATGTTGGAGTTAAGAGTCTCATTAAATATCTTTGTCTTTTGCTGCATGCAAGGCTTGGTGTTCAACAAAACTTTAATGTAAGTATTTGGTGGACTTTATTTAAAAAAATTGAATTTAGCTTCACGGCAACATGCTTACAGGAAGTAGGTAAAGGGATGAAGGACTATAAGAGGCTTTTCCAGTCCTGAAAATTACTTTTTCAAGCCGACGTTGATTCAAAATTTTTCGAATTTTCGTTTGAAGACAATTAGAATTGAGGGCCATCAAATGTCACGTTAAAACGTACGAATGAATATGAATCTCTCTTAAACAAGTTCTGTATGCTGATATTTATGCAGCTTAATCATATAAAATTCTCAAGAGAAGCTTATGCTTTTGTTCTTGTTCAAGTCCTTTAATATCAATGTTATTAATGTTAATATAAATTGACATAAAACTGAAATTGTGACAAGTAATAGTGAGAATTAATTGATAATAAATAATTAAATACATCTATTTATTTTATTTTATAGATAAACAAAAATGAGAATGGAAACTTAAAATTAGTCAGCTAATGTTTTCTTGAAAATATTTTTTATCAAGTCACCCATAAAATATCTTTTGTTTTATAAAAGATGGATAAAGTCGTGTGTTAATTTTTCTTCTATTAGGTTTCTTGGATGGGTCGCCGCACAGTTATATTGAAAAACAAGATTTGCTACATAGATTGGTGTTACTGCAACGCACTCTGATGCAGGGTCTGCCCATCATCACTAGGTTCCTAGCACAGTTCTTACCCCACTGGAACGAGAAGGATTATTTTTGTGAGGTAATCTATTTACAACATGTTTAAAGGAAATGAGCGTATATACATTAAGCGATAACTGCATGATATCGTCAGACTGGTAGTTTAATACAATCACTACCAGATGCTTTCACACTGTGTTGTTGTAGTCAACTTTATCAGTACCGATATCGGGTGACGACACGGTTTTTCGCTATAATATAAAAGATAATAAAGCATTTTGTAACTTGTTCACTGCTGCCATTATTATTTCGAATATTCTCTTGCGGTCGCTTTTGATTAACTTCTAGTAAGCTGTTGGTTATCACATGTCGTCCGAGCTGACGATATTTGAGTATCGTGTTATATCGTTATCGTCGCAGTGTGTAAATGCCCATTAATAACGTCCCTCAATATTAATTGCACTTTTTAAATTTCGAAAAGTATTATGTACTCAAAATATTGCTGTATTGTAATAAGAAATATTTAAGCACAACAAAAAGTATGATGTGAATCTCTTCCTTTCAATCAATTTATTTGTATACTACTAGTACATTATATAAAGCATATTATTGCATTGTTTTTAGATATTGGAACTTGTGGAATGGATACATGTGGACAGTCCAGATCAGATACAATGCATCATGCAGCCACTCATACAGATATATCACCGTTCTGAACCGCTAGAGCAATGTGCTATTCTCCAAAGCTTGACTAAAATGTATACAAATCTGGTAAGTTTTATATTTGTAGCATTTGTTACATTAAAATCTTATTGTTTACTGATTAATGACACTGCCTAGGTTTTTTCTTATGATTTGACATTAATAGGATGTTACAGGTGCAATTTGGTAGCTAGATGTTTTTAGAAATGGTTAAAAATAAAATAATTAAACTAATAATACATTGCTTAGATTCCAACATGTGTAGCTAAAACCCCTGCATTATGGGATATCTGAGACAACAAAGGTACCACAACACCCAGACCCATTTTCTTAATTGAATTAATGATATTATAATAATAATAATAATAAGCTGTTTATTCTGAACATTTGATTTTGGTTTACATAATTAGTTTATAATAAATCTCTGATTTCAGTGTGCCTCGTGGCATAGGCCTCCTCTAGCATCCTCCATTGGTTTCTATCTCTTGCAACTCTTCTCCAATTAGGTCCTGCGGTTAGTTTTAGCTCGTCTTCCTGGGTACTCCTTAATATATGGCCAGTCCACTTCCACTTTAATTGGTCAATTTTTGTCAGTATGTCCATTACTCCTGTCTTTGTTCTTCTAACTGAGTTTCTTATTTTATCTTGTTTCCTGATGCCTATTATACTCTCTGAAATGTTTTGTGAGTTCATAATCTCTTTTAAAGAGCAATATTTTTTCCAACCATTTGTAGTTCTTTTTTTTATTTCTTTGGTGGTTTGGTCTTCATGTGAGATTATTTGTCCTAGGATTAATGATTAAGAATAATTATATATTTAATATCTAGGGCGTAGACAACTTTTTTAATATTTTAATTTTATAGATACATGGACAATCTAAAAAAAAAATTATAAAAAGTATCATTTGTTTAAAACTACAAATAAATTCAAAATTTCCCGCGAAAACGATAACTTCTTTCATGGCGTCGTTATGACGTCACGGCCCTCTGAAATTAATATCGTTATATTATGCACAAGCTCCAATTCTCTAAATTCTGATATGAGTAAGAGGGGCGTGACCTCACGCGCTGTTTGCGGTCACATGATAATGAGTATAAAATAATTTAAGCAACATTATAAATATAATAACCATGAAATTGTGATTATCTGTAATAGTATCTTGAACAATACCGCAAAAAAAAAAATTAGTTTACTGTCTATATCCGTATTACATATTTAAATTATACATAGACTTGAGAAAGAAGGAAATTGAAATTATATAATTTTCGCTAATATCTTGTATCCCATAACTATAGTCATAGCGGTTTTGTTTTATCAATATGTTTATATTTAAAACGAGATGTTTATTATTATTTTAATCCAACATATGGGCAGTTGCACAAACGTACATTAAGGTTTAATGAAGCCGTTAAGCACTAATGTTTGTCAAATTTGTATGGACGTTTGTGCCACTGGCTGATAGTTGTTTATTTGAGTTTTCGAAATTGCAGGTATATTCAAGTAAAAGAACTCGTCGATACTTTATGAGTATGAAATCTGTCGACGTGGACTACACAGTGTTATTGCATACAATCGCCACGAATATCAGTGAAATGTGTAATACGGCGTTACAAATTAATCCAGGTATGTGCACTACTGTTTATTCTCTTTCGAACTATATTCTACAGTCTCTAGGTTAGTATCTAAAGAAATGGCAAAATAATTTTTCGAACAATCGATGAGGTTAGAGAAATCCAGAGCTCATTCTCGTGTCGGTAGGCAAAGAGCGACGTAAGCTATAAAATATATAATTATAATTTCGGTAAGATAAGATATAATTTTGGCTCATACACATATAGCATTTAATGATGACTCATACACATATAGCTTTCCACCAGCGGCTTCTCTAGTAATGTATTATAAATATAAAACTTCTTGAACCATTCTGTATATTGATAACCGCATTAAAATCCGTTGTGTACCTCTATTTTAAAAGATCACAGCGTACAGACAGCGGGAAGCGATTTTGTTTTATGCTATGTTTATACCACGGTTCCAAACAGAAAAAAAAGTCGTATAATCACCCGGCAATACATATCTCTTTCGCATGTGCCCAAACGTATTGCTATTGCGCTCGCACAGAGGCATCTAGCCTATTTTGTAATAGTAAATTGAACCTAAAATATTTATCATATCTATTAGTAGGCACAAAGGTTAATGTAATTCTCCCTGTTTGGCGACCATGCTTTAGATGTAGATATTGATGTTCAAATTAAACGTGGTTGATTTTTATATGTTAAATCTGTATTATAATATTAGAAAGAGGAAAGACTTGATTGTTTGTTTGCAAAGAATACGCTCCGAAACTACTGGACCGATTTTAAAAATTCTGTCACCTGCGGGAAGCTACATCATATGCGGTGGACATAGGCTATATTCTATGTCAAAAAACAGCAAATAAAGGTATGAAAATGGGAGTGGAAGTTTGTATGGGGGTATTAAAACGTTACCATAGTAACCATTGTTTACTATTAAATTTGTAATTGTATCCGTTTATATGAATGGATATCAAAATGAACAGTTTCCTTGGCGATGAGCTAGTGTTTTATTATTTATAAAGAAATATTATAAATAATAAAACTCTAGATATTAATAAAGAAATCACTGGTGTAAAAATTCGTGGTATCGTTTATATAGTAAATAATAATAGTTATTTAAGATACGAATGCGGAAAGTAAGGTTTTACGAATAAGGGCCAAATTGAGTAGCGAGGGTTTTCATTGGCACGAATTCGAAAAACCTTATACGCTCAAGTTTCTTACAGCATTTTTCAATGCTTTTTGCAAGGAAATAAAACAAATATATAAGTTAATAAAACTAAGTGTGTATTAAAGGTAAAAATTATATTTGCTAAAATTAAACGTGATATTTGAACATGTTTTCGTGTCATACATTTTTATTTGAAAATATTCGTTCTAGGCTCCTTGAAATACTTTTGCCTCTAAAGTTTGATATATTTTCATCAATTTTTTTTTTAAATGTCTTTGGTGACCGGCCAAAAAAAAAAAATACTTTTAAGCACATGTGCAGTAAAGAATTTCAGTACAGTGTTTAAAGACTCTCTTTCGGTGTTTACAATGGATTAAAAAAATAGCGCTTTATGAGCAACTGCATTGAAAAGATTATTATTATTACGAACGTAGATGATATGCGGGTGGCATTCAGCGGTGCGTCGAGTGCGGAGCGCATGTCCGGTGCGGAGGTGCGGTGCGGCGCGCGCATCGGTGCGGTGCCGCGGCTGCTGCCGCTCGCCGGGTGGCTGCTCGCGCCCGCCGCCTGCCTCGTGGACAAGGCCGCCGCGCTGATGATCACGTGAGTAAAAACCGACCAAGTGAGAGTTGCACTCATTGGACTCAAATTCATGATCAAATTCATGATTTTTCTAACCCCCCCCCCCCCCCTCCTGTCACATGACACATGTTTGTTTATACAAATTCTAGTAAATATTGTTCTAATGTCACAGTTCGTTGACCCCCCTCCCCTCCTAAAGTGTGATGTAATTTATGGATGGCCCCTATCCGATATCTTTGAATCGTGTTTACTGTTGGCCTCAGATGGCCTTTACAGTGTAACCGGACTAAGGGACGGCGAGATCCTTAGGGATTCAAGCCGAGATGACGATCGTCATCGATGCTATCTATTACGGGAAGGTGTCTCCACTCCGTTGTAGAGTCGCCCTGGACTCTAGTGTTGGATAATGGGGTCGGGATGATTAGAGAGCGCCACTAAGGGCTCGGTCCTCGGTTGTAATTATTCCGTGTCGTGGAGGGCGGAGAGAAACGCCCAGGTACTTATCTGTACCTGGTGAATCGCGTACTATGTAGATCGGTGAAGTTGCACTCGTGACCGGTGAGTGCGGTATCGCGGGCCCGTCGGCGTGTGTGTGTTTATCGGATATCGATGCGCACAGAAATTGTATATTTTTTGAAACACAATATTGCTGCGATTGCAAGACATTGGATTTTCCCGCGATGAATAAGCAAGAGTAAAGCTGCTTGATTTGTTTTGGTACTCGTTTGTTCGACTATGTACACCATGGCTAGAAGTTACCAAATACAGATTGATTCACAAATATATAGTTTCAAATATATATATATAATTTCTATAAATATATAGTTTCAGAATCCAATATTGTATATATGATATCGATATCGTGAAATCGCCGTTTCAACAGAAAGAAACTGCAACAAAAATACATCATCTGAAAAAACTCCAGAATTCCGCGCCACTAAGAATTTGCGTAGGGTAGTCTAATTTGTCTTGTCTATGTTTACAAAAGATTTTCGAGACTTACCACATGTTGCTGTATGACCTAGTGAATTATTGTAAGTTAATAGTAGTTATTTTTGCAAAACAATGCACATATCACAGGTAGTTTGTTAGGGATACAATACCTTCTTTGATACACCTTTACCTTTGTTCATATTTGACTTGTACTAAGGTAGTGACGCCTTATAAGGTCCACTGTTTTTGACCTTTGCTACAAAAAGCCAACTAGAATAGGTCTCAATTCCAATCTTGCGTCAAATAATCAGTAAGGGTAGAAATTAGTAATTTTAACTTATTTTTAATTGGGTTTTTAACACATCGGTCAAAAACAGTGGATGTTATTAGGCGACAGTACCTTAGTTTTTATAATAGAAACTGTTCCTGACTTTCAAATTAATCTCTTAAATTTTTCTTTATCAGATACAAGAGAATATTCACCAATCTGAAGGCTACGAACAGAATGGAGAAAGACGAAGTCCACATGGAGCAGATCAACATACTCAAGAATTATACTTGCGATCTGATAAGCTGCCTCTACGGTGAAGAGGCTCTTAGGAATCGCAAGAACGGCCTAGTATTCGAGAAACTTCACCCACAGTTAGTTGGGAAATTGTATTCTATTATGCCAGATATAGATTCCAAATTGAGTATACGAAATCACATAGCGTTTGCTCCATACACTTACATGAACCTTGAAGATAATATGGATCATACGGATGCAGATAACAAGTTATGGTTCGATACAGTGATTGCTGAAGCCTTTCCAAATCTCGGTAACTTCTTGATGAAGGTTGTGCCTGAATTAAAATAAATGTAAATATAATGAGAAAAGTTTTTTTTATAAGTATTTAATAAAGTCAAAACTATGTCACGAGTGGCGAGTATGCATCTTGATCATATCATTACCTTTTTTTGATCATAGACATAGAACTAAGAAGTGTCTTAGATTTGATTAATATATTATATAATATGTTAGAATGAATGCGCAGGATTAAGGTTTTAGGTAGTGGGGATATCCATCCACATCCATGGATTCCGGATATTTCTTTTGCAGCGGGTTTTATTAGGTAGGCTAACCACACTGTCCTCGCTCCTCGGAACAGGTCCAAGTGGAACGATATCGTTTATTGAATATTTTCATCAAAAACGTGGCAATCGCAATTACATGTCAATTTTTATAGTTTTAGTGCGAAGTTCGTGAATATCTTTCAAATGTCAAATTGAAAGGAATTGCGATAGATTTTAAAGTTAGATAATCAGCCTTCTGATTCGAGACATAAGGTGCATTCCCTGCGTTAACACAAAATTTTGTGTAATAGCGGCGGACACACGGTATAATTAATGATGGTAACATTTTTTTATTTGTCCATAAGGTAGATTGTTGAAAAATACGAAATACGTATTTTTTTCGTAATCATTAAAATTACCGTGATATATTGAGTACATTTTACATGTACATTTTATACAAAAGTGTGACGTAGCGAACCTCCACTTCTCAACTTTAATGCCTGTTATCTAAGCTATATATTGTTAAATTGCAGTGAAAAAAATACGTATCTAATATTTTTCTATTATACGACTGACGGGCTATTGTTTATTCGCTGTATATTTCTATGTATAATTCGTGTACTCAATTCAATAACAAGCTTTTATAGTGCCTACTACTTGTTATGCTTAGAAATTATTTTATTTTTTATATTTCGACTGATGGTTTTATGTGTAGTGAGTAATGTATGAAAATTATCGATTTGTGTTTATTTTAATACATTCTTATTTTAATCATGTGCTGTTATTGTATTTTTGGTTAGTCTATCTATTGCCTCTGAAGTATTTCTCATGAAGGCAATTCGTATCCAAGTATTTTTACTATAGATACTATTTAAACAATAAAAATATAAAAGGATATGTGTAAACATTATTTAACACGTTTGTTTCTGGTAATGCTGTTGCTAATATAACTACTTCACATTAATATTCTAAAGCATGTGGGTTTGTACGAGTAGAGGTACTTAGGGGTTATAGATGAACTAACCCTGTATTTTTCACGTATTACAGACATTAATGTAATGTAATTTAATGTAGTTTTTACATCTCTTACTGACCCCACCGTTTGTACCTAAAAATATTTTAAGAATGCTAAATAAAATTAATTTTAGAACAAACAAACGCCGTTGTTTTAGTCGGATTTCAATGAACAATTTCCTACATTGACTCGACAGGGAGTCGAATCAGTACCCCTTGTTAACTCTTAGACCGATACTTCTTTCGGTAATGCTATACTTAATTATAAGAAAAAGTCTTATAATGATAGTTTTTTTACGGGATTCTTATTTACTCCGTGATCATGGCCCTTGCAACAGCGCTGAAATATCGGAAACTCAATAAAAACAAGGGTAAAACTATAATTCTAATGTAAATGACTATGAAAGCTAAAAACAACATGTATGTAATAGCTGTGCCCGCGACTTCGCCTACGTGGGAGGTATATTGGTAGAATCCTTTTTTCTATGAATGGAGTCGAATCGAATAAGGTCAATGGGTCATAACCAGAGGTCGGAATTAGGTAGAGTTATTTATGTACTTGCATCGAAATGTTGATATGAATGTGGACCTTCCCGGGATTTCTAATGGACAATCTTGGACATCTTTGGACATCCGATGTCATTGATGTAAGTTTGGCAACGTCGTGCGTGCAGTAGTTTAAATTGTGTAAAAGTAAATAACTTTTTATTTAAAAAATTACGTGATTTTTTCTGCTCTTTAAAATTAATCTCGGGATTTGAGGCATATCCACTTTATTCTTTCGCTGTATGAAATCAGTGTAAGTACATGAATAACTCTACCTAATTCCGACCACTGGTCATAACTCACTATGCGGGCTTAATGCGGATCGGTGGGTGTTAACGTTGCTGATGCAGCCAGGACTAACAGCTTAACGTGCATTGTGCCAGTGTTGTGCACAGTGATCAAGATAATAATTTTTGGTCACCCATCCTGTGAACGGTCCTTACAAATGTTATTTTTCTCTCCTTTTTTCTCGTTTCTCGCGCTCTGGTTGTCACTTGTGTCTGAGCATTTTAGTCGTACCTTTAAACTAGCCTTCTTTTGTTGATCTTTTTAAATTATTATTATTTGTCTAGTTGTATGCACAATCGGCTATTTATTGTTCTTTTTTCCATTATCCAATGCCTGGAAGAAATCGCTCGCTAGCGATGAGTTTGTCATTTGTACTTAGTTATGTTAAATAAGTATTCACGTATGTCCTTGTTGTGCAGTATTTACTTACTTATTTAACTGCAATTTAAATCGAATGCGCTAACCCACTACGCCATCGGACCCATTATACCTAAGCTATACTAATATTATAAAGAGGGAAGATTTGGTTGCTTGTTTGTTTGCATCGAATTTGCTCCAAAACTACTGGGCCGCTAGTTTCAGATCGATTCCGACCTACGGGAAGCTACACCAGACGCGGATGTCATAGGCTATAATTTTGCGGCAGTCGCGGTAAAACGGCTACTTTTTTATACCCTGTGAAAACTTATCTGCGGTACGTCTATGGAGTATGAAGGCAACACGGGTTGGCGATAATCGAAACTACTTTCTCGATCTCTATTGTGCAAACTGCGAGCTCTATCAGAGACCAAGCGCATTTCTCTATCAAAGGAAGTTTCATACTCATACCATACTGCATGTATGTTACAATCAGCAGTTAGACGCGCTATGCGATCTTCAGAAGTTTCCTAAGATCAAACGCTTGTTGTATGAGTTCTCCGAGAGCTCAAGAGATTGCCCCTGACGGTAAACGCTTCAGATTCAACTTTATAGTGAATGAGCTTCGCGATGGGCAGGCAAGGGCAAAAACGTGAAGCATATTTAATGCTTCGCGTTTTTCACGTGCCTCCCGAGACCGACCGCTTCCCTTCCGATCTCTTTCTTTATTAATAAAAGTCGCTCGGTACATGTCTGACGGTAGATACGTGGAGTTTTATTTATTGATATAAAAAATAATACATATTTTAATTTCGATTTTCCCCACTCGAAGGATATCGTCTACTAACACATACTTCCGACAGGTGCTTAACTGAGCTTCCGTCAGATTTGAACGGCCCTCATCATCATCATTAGCCCTTTTACGTCACCATATTAACGACTGCAAATAGAATCGGGACCAATTACTTTACATGCCTTCCGAAGCTTGGAGCTGCTTGAGATAATATTTTTTTGGTCACCCATCCTGTGACCGATCTTTGCGAAAGTTGCTTAACAACTACAATCGCGGGCCATGGCGCTTATTCACTACGCCATCGAGCTACCTGAACCGACCCCCAGACTCGCGTAATATTATATGAGTGTTGTGACCAATGAATAAGCGATTGTTTCCAGCGAAGATTGAAAATACTAACTATGAAGTACGTATCTACAGCAATTTGTATGTTAAAAAAAAACAAAAAATTAATAAAAGTCGCTCGGTACATGTCTGACGGTTCAGCCGTTTCTGAGATTATCGTGCACAAACGCACAGACAAACAGACAAATTTAAAAATCATTGTTTTGTGTTCTATTACGCTTATAAATGTCCCTCATAACAGTTTTATTAAATCTTCAATGCACAGACATCGATCAGTTACGTTTTTATTATAGTATAGGTAGATTATCTCGTTAGTACCTACACTTCGAAATTTAGTGACGTCCAGCAACAGCATCTCGACTATTATGTTGCAATTAACCTATCCATTTCTGATATCAAATAGCCAACTAGAGCTAAGAAACGGGTCTTAGACATACTGCTTACGTTTTGTATGCGTTCTAAAGCTAATCTAAAAATGATAGGCATTATTAAAAGAAAACAAAAGTACCTTATAGGGGCTAGGTGGCTAGTGTTCGGTTTTGCGATGGAATTATCACAAGGATCCGTTAGGATCATCACCACCAGCCTCTTGATGTCTACTGGGGCTGGGGCAAAGGCTAACCAATGGATGGAATCGAAACAAAAGGCTAGGACAAAGGCTAACCAATGGATGGAGTCGTAGGAGAGGTAATTAAAAATTTATTATCTTGCGCTTCGGAAGGCACAGTGTTGGTTCCGGTGTCATCTGCTATCGTTAACACACGCACTGGTCCCTAATCAGTGGCGTAGAGGGCCTTGGAGAGGTCCTCTATTAAAATTAATTGGGGGACCTAAATGGAGGGTAAACATTTTTGCTTACACATTATAGGGGTAGGTAGCTACGCTCCACGGTCCGGATTTACCTGGGTATTAACTCTCAGGCACCAAGTACCGGACTACGCGAGAGGGTAATACGGAGGGTTTTGCACGGTAGGCCCGTTGTATAGGGCTTCGGTCGCGTACAACGGGATGAGCCCGGGTTTAGTCGGCCTCTCATCCAGGTCGATGAAATGTTAAGGCTCAGTTCCCTTCGGTATAAAAAAAGGTAGCTACGCTCCTCGCCCGAGCTGCGTGCATCATCCATTCATTGGATTGGTGAAAAGTCTTTTCGCATATAGTATGCATAAACTCTTTTTTTTGCTTTTCTTTGTTTTGAAACCTTTTCTTTAAAAATGGCATTGTGATTATTAATTCGAGAGGTGGAGGCCAGGAGTGCCATAGAACGAGGTCTTCCTAGTTTGGACTCCTGTCTTCTACATAAACTTGCTGTATTTTGTACTTATTATTATTAAACTTGAAATAAAATCTTTCTGGCTCGTTTCGGTACCATTAAAAATCTAAATTTTAAAGAAGATAACTCTGAATTCAAATTAGGAAAATTAGTGATTTTCATTTCTTATTCTTACTGTGAAAATAAGTAA